CGGTTTTTGAATAGGCTATACAAGTCCAAAATGTACGCATAACAATTCTTCGGCGTTTGTTCCCTTTTGTGTAATCATCGGCCCGGATTTTGATGACATGTCATCTTTTTTTTCCTTGTATCCTGTGCGATGCTCTTAAATATATAAATCTCGGATATGAGCTGCTGGTTACAGAAATGTAAATTTTATAGGTATTTTTTTGTCATTTTTTGACATTTTCAGGTTTAAGGTCATTTTTTCATTTTGGGGGTAATTTTTTGTAAATTTTTGGACTTTTAAGGGTATTTCTTGTCATTTTTGGCCACTAGGGAATTTTTCTTCATGTTTTTTGAAATGTGAATAACATGGAAGCGAAGTGTTCTTTCTTTTCTCCTTTAGGTCATTTTTCCGGGGTTTTTCAGTCATTTTATGGGTAATTTTTTTTTAACACTTTCAGGTCATCAAAATCCGGGTCCTGCATATTACATTTTTGTGTCATATTTTAGGTAATTTTATATGTCACTTTTTAAATATTTTCAGGTCATCAAAATCCGGGCCCTGGTAATCATACTGAAAACTATACGACTTGCTGAAAGCTTTGTATGGTTCGTGCTTCGCTGCAACTATTGTTCGACACATTTTTCGCTGCGAGATATTCAGCCCGTTACGCAGGAGTTACAATAAACGCATGCGCGTCTTCATGCTCGAGTTTAAGCAGGTGTTGGAATGTGTCACTAGATTTTAATAGAATTTCTCGATGTCAAATTTCAAGAAAATTCTTTCAGAAGCAGACAGACATGTAGACTAAGCTGACAGGAGCAGTATGGCAACGCCGCGTTGCGAACACACGAACAGTCTAACACGGGGGGGATAAAGAAACCAGATTAATAAAGCTGTTCCCATGTGTACATGTTTATTCATAGTTTACCCCTTTTGGTAATTTACATAGAGCCCACCACGTTCTGTTCAATTTCGAGAACTGTACTTCCATTACCAGTAGCCAATGCAGTTTGCATAAATTTCAGTCTGCATTTGTTTTCACTGCAGTAATTTGACCCCGATGAAACAGTTCTGATAAATCAGAGGTGGGAGGAGCGTGCAAGGCCATCTCTGATCGCAAACACAGAGTTCGCTGCAGGCAATTCAGTAGTCTTCTGGTATACAGGTTTGCGTTTGTTTGATGCACCATTTTAAGCAACAAATCTGTCTAATATTACCTGAAATACGTAAGGCAATTGTGTAAGATCGATTGATCACAAGAAGCAAGGGGGCCCGACTGTGTTGCATGGAACGTAAAGAGGTTGTCACGGAAGTGATAAAAGAATGTATTCTCGTTTTATTCATTGTAAACGTATATAAACCTGATTGAAGTGTAAGTTATGGATCTGAATTACGTCTTAAATGTGCAATTTGCCATTTTCCTACGATAATTACGTCAAAGGATATGTGGACGGAGAAACGCGGGAAGAGGGATAGGAAGGGATGAAAGTCAAACCGCCTTAGCACCGCGACTAGTGACGACCCTTTGTGCATCCCCAACTTTTGTTTCACCAGCAACCCTGCACTTTGAATAAGTTGTAGTTTACTGATTGAGACGGTATGGGGGCAGTTAGGGTGTCACGAGTGTGTACTTGAAACCCCGCAAGGTAGTGGCACAACACTATATTTGCGGGCCGTATTATTACAGTTTCTATACGAGCTTACCAGCTGCATGTGGTTCTGTATGGGTGTGAAACTTGGTCTCTGACATTAAGGGAGGAACATAAACTTGGGGTGTTTGAGAACAGAGTGTTGAGGAGAATATTTGGACCCAAGAGGATGAAGTGATAGGAAGTTAGAGAAAACTGCATAATGAGGACCTTAATAACTTGTGCTCTTCTCCAAGTATAATTACATTGATGAAGTCAAGGAGAATGAGATGGGCAGGGTATGTAGCACGAATGGGGAGAAAAGGAATGCATATAGGATATTGGTGGGAAAGTCAGAAGGAAAGAGACCACTGGGAAGACCAAGGCGTAGGTGGGTGGACAATATTAAAATGGATCTTAGAGAGAGAGGATGGTATGGATTGGATTGATGTGGCTCAGGATAGGGACCAGTGGAGGGCTCTTGTGAACACGGTAATGAACCTTCGGGTTCCATAAAATGCTGGGAAATTCTTGATTAGCTACAGAATTGGCTCCTCAAGAAGGGCTTAGCTCCATAAGTAAGTAAGTAAGTAAGTAAGTATACCAGCTGCAAGTGATGTTTTTGGGTTACACTTCGGCCTTAGTTTGTGACTTGAAGTTGGTTGTGAATTCGTTCCTGGCTGTGACAGATGGAAAGGCAGAAGCACAGAAAGTTGTGATTGTTCGTGTACGGTTATTTTTTGCTTTAGTCTTAACAGGCTGACGTGATTTTTCTTCGTTGAATGCATTATGAGATGGAAATAAAATTAATTCAGTGAGGGTTTCAAATAATACAAAAGGAGGAATGTTGTAAAGGGGTGGAATGTCGTTTATACAGAACTGCACAGACTTGGCGGAAGAAATCCTCACGGAAAGTGGAGCTGGTAACCATGAAAGACGCAGAAGTTATGAGGACATATGAGCGATGGGTTTAATTTTCTAATTTAATTTTTTACATGTTCGCACTGAGTGACGCACTGGTGTGTTGGCGTTTTCGGCTCGGCCCTGTCGTTTTTCTTGTGTTTTCATATGTAACCTCCCATCACTGTGTGGCAGAATTCTCGGACTTGCTATTTGGCCCACAATTTCTTCGGGTCCACAGTCTCATCCCGTCTTAGTTTCAAATTTGTGAAATATGAATCGGTTAAAAATCTTCCTCATTTTTATGTGGAAATTACTGAAGTAAAAAGATACATATTTTATGTTCTGTTTTCTAGTTTATGTTCTCAAAATAAATGTGGAGGCATACAAAATCCGTTTGTTTCCCTTTTTATTCGGGACGTGTTGCAAGAAGTGCGGCATCCAGTTGTCTGGGACATACCACATGTGTTACTTGTGGCATTGCCGTACGTGGCACATTGCCCCCTTGTTGCCTCGGTGTACACGCGCCTAAGTAGTCTGAACACAAGCCAATACGACAGCGGAATTGAATGAAATGTGTGTTGTTATGAATCGTCTGAAACTTTATGCAAATATCCAAACAAATTCCGTTTTAACACAACGCTTTCTTAATTTCCCATTCCTACGTACCACATCCGGCTCTGGGGGCCACCCAGCCGTCTATCCGATGGGTACCGGGGGCACTTTCCCTGGGGTAAATCTGCTGGTTCGTGGTGAACACTCACCAACTAGTGCCGAGGTCAAGAGAATGTGGATCTATACATCCATCCCCTCATACGCCTTCATGGCGTAGTGCTTAAATAGTTAAGTACAGGGACAACCAGGGGGTCGGGGTTCGAGTCCCGGGAGGGCAAGAATTTTCCCTATTCCATGTTGTCCAGACCAGCTCTGGGGTTACCCAAACTCCTATCCAATGGGTACCGGGGGCTCTTTCCTCGGGGGTAAAGCGGCAGGGGCGTGAAGCTGACCACTCGCCTGAAGTTAGTGCCGAGGTCAAGAAAATGTGGATCTATACATCCCCTTTATGGGGGATACTCCTTTATGGCGTAGTGCTTAATTAGTTAAGCATAGGGACAACTTTACCATGCATGCCAAATCCCGAACGAAAATGGCAAGCTTGTCCCAGTCCGCCGAAATTTCATTATTTGAGTTTCTCGCATTGATTTGGCAGAAACTCAGTAATATGTATTTTAAACCAACCTGTGCCATGATTGTATAATAATAGTTATATAAATGTGTTTATAATATTCCTTATTCGGACCAGAAGTGCTCATGATTATTAATGTCGTTTTATTCGTCACTGAACGTATGCGCTTCCGATGGGAGGCCCTGTCCAGCGTAGCAGGAGGTTTGGTTTCAGTTGGACTGTCGTTAACATGGCCTGATGTCCTTAGGATCAGAGAGGCACGCAAGTCCTCTCACCACGCTAAGATTCCAGTCCACGGAGAGGGACTTCCAAGTCCCATCTGTCCAATATTCGACCTACCTACACTTATCTAAACCTTACCATATGTGAACTTCGATTCTTTCCGTGACTTCCAGTTTCAGGCGGATTGTATGCATAAGGAAATTCGTGTCAAGTGATGGCTGAGCACCCAGAGTAAATAGTTACGGTCATGGCACACGTCGGTGCGTGAACAATTTAAAAATCTGTGTACACGGCCAGTGGTGGAATGTCACTGAGAGAGACAGCAAGAGTTGTCTGCAGTGTAGCTGCACTTGTCAGTACAGGATTCAGCCACGCTTCTTCCACGCTCGCGGATTTTCATTTTTCTTTACCGGGAAGATGGAGGCGATACGTTCCTCCGAAACGTCGGTTAACACACTATCTACACAGCGCCACATCCCACAAGACGTTTTTCTTCATAGTCACCGCCGTGAAAACCTCAAATCTTATATAATTCTACTCACTTTCCTGTTTCTCTATCCATTGTGATCATGTTGAACAGAAAGTGACTGGGATTTCTTCATACTGGAGGGGGGCTAATAGTTTGAATCTCGTCCCGGCAAGATGCTGTTCTTACATAAGTCTGTTGTGGTTTTTCTTAATCTGTCAAGACATGCTGAAATAGTATCTTAAATATGTCATGGGCTTCGCCCATCCAAAGGCGCCATTTGCAGTCGTGTCCTTCGGAGCGTGTAAACTGTGAAGTTGAAAATGTGTCACATGATTAGTGTCATTTGTTTGTGTTAGTGGCGTTCACAAGTTTGACTTCCCATTTGTCTCATACCGATGTCTTGCTGCCGTATTTACATCTATATCATAAATATAATGACCGTCGAACTGAAATCCGTCACGAGTTTTATCAGGAAGCTGATCCAAGCCCGGGAAGTACTGCGATGCAGTCACGTGAGAACTGCTGCAGGGGAATTTCTTTCTGTTTGGCTGCCACTTTACGGATGTTGACAGCACAGCAGAGTTAAGCCTTAATGTGACGTCACTTCCTATTTCAGCAAGCCCTGGAAGTGTTGCGGAAAACGCCAAACAATGTTGTGCTGACCGTCTGCCGGCCTCCTAGTGACGTCTTCTGCACCCAGGCTCCGAGCGAGCCCCCACCACCGCCGCCGCCCCCACCCCCACGCAGGGACCCAGCCCACAATATCAGCTACTCTAGTCATCACATTCTCCCTCTACCGCCGCTCCAGACGGAGGGCCCCTGTGGGGTGAGTGCATGTCACTGTACATTTGTTCTATGCTTTACGTCAAGCGATGTCTCTCAAGATGTAAGCCTACAGCTTTTCTAGGTCGCCAGAAAGTACAATGACAGTGTACCTCTTTGGTGTAGACGTTAAAGAAATCCTGTCCAGAGGCTGCTTGAACGGCATTAACTGCCACATTAAAATACCTAGTTTACAAACTTTCTACGTGGTAATAGCCCGAAAACTCACTGCTCAGCCTGTCGCTAGAAATGACGCTGAGCCATTCCACATCATCAGAACCAAATATAAAGCTCTCATACCACCTGTTTTGTATAGCTGTAAAATGTGGTCTCTTACTCTGAAGGAAGAACATAAGTTCCAGATATTACTTAGGTTTTCGGGAATAAGCCGTTTCAAATTTGGAAGGTTCTCAGCGTTTCTTCAAGTATTGTGGTTGCCGTCTTCTGGGCTAATTGTTCCCGGGGGGGGGGGGGTCTTGGAAGCCCATTATCGCTGTTTTTCCGCAACCACGTGGCCACTTCCCGTTGGCTAACACTTCGCCCCTCTGTTTCGTCCAGCCATGCCTCCTCCTCCCACTCACCACCCTCTTTCAGATCATCCCCCCTTCCCCCAGGAATTAACCATGAAGACGACAATTGCAGTATTGCCAGAACGTTGGGATATCTTCAAGATTCGACGCAAGACATTTCCTTAACACGAAGTTACACTTTAAAATCAAGGGATAGGACAAAAATAAGTTTGCAAGTATTTGAAGATAGAATGTTACGGAAAATATATTTCGACCCATGAAGCTGAGAACTTTTGATATTACACAGTGAGAAATTATTTCATTTGTATAGCTCATGTAGAAGTACTCACAGAAAACCTCCCCGGGCCCCACTTTATCTACCACAATCCCCATATGATCTGACCTGGGATCGAACACGGGCCGCCGCGGTGGGGAGCCAGCGACTGACCGCTTGAGCTATAGCGCGGCCGATACAGGTCGGTAGGTTAGGCGTATCGATAACTGGGAATGTAGTACAGACAAGCGAAACAAGATATGATCGGTCGTGTAATGTCGAATGATAATTGATAGGATTATTATGAATGAGAACTATTGAAATTTGTGGGAATAAACGGTGTTGGTTTGAAATGTTATACTGTAGTTTCCCATGGACAAATCGGGAAACCAACAGTAGAGCCGTGGATAGCCCAGCCCCAGCTGAAGTTTGACTTGAGTACCTTCCGAAAGTGTGTCAGACGCGCTCCCTCGTCCAGGTGAAATAATGCATAATGGAGAGCTGCACTGTCAGGTGACACGGTAATAATAAAGCGAGTCTAGTGTAACTATATATGTATATACACATATATATGGATCGAAGCGGCTTTGTATGTGAGCCTGTGGAGTCTGTTTCAGTTTTTTTTTAGCCAGTTGTATTGTAACTCCAATTAAAATGGAGTTAACTCTGATTTTCTAGGCCATTAATGATGTTGTTTTCAACGTTCTTCTGGTATGCCCCTTAGGAGTAGACAACGCACATGGCACAGTTAAATGTGAAAGAAAGGTAAAGCTGTCTCTATGCTTAACTCTTTTTAAGTACCATGAAGGTGTATGGGGGAGTGGATGTATAGATCCACGTTTTCTTCACCTCGACATTGGTTAGAGGTGCGTGGTCAGCTTCAAGCTCCGGCGGAAAGAGTCCACGGTATCCATTGGATAGGAGGCTGAGTGGGCCCGAGAACCGGTCTGGAAGACACGGAGAAGAGAAAATTCTTGGCCCTAATGGGGCTAGAACTCCTACCTCTTCTGTCGTCCAGCCTCTAGTCAGTCGCCATACCGACTGCGCTATTCCGGCTCCTTAGGTAAAGGTATCCCTGTAATAGGCCGTGGAGGCCCATAGGGTTGTGAGACATCGAGGCTCCCACATTTTCTATACAATCGGCTCATGGAGCAGCTTAAATTCCTCATATCTTAGAAGTATTTCAAGATATGCAGGTATTGCTACTGGCTACTTTGTATGCTTTCCCTGTAACAGGTCATGAAGGTCCATAGGGTTGTAGGACGTCGAGGCTCCCACATTTTGTAGCCAGTAGGCTCACAAATGGCGGTAAGGTTGGCAGCCTTACTCCCTTATCGCCCTTTACCTACCAGAAAAGTTCCTCGTACTCATTTATGTTAGAGGCTGAGTCGACCCCAGGGCCATAATACAGCTGGAAGGATTAGGTCAACTGAAAAATCCAGTGACCTCTTCGGGACCTGAATCCGCGACCTTCTGGCTTGTAGCATAGTACCTCAACCAACTACGCTACCGCGTGCCCACGGTTAAATACAGTTATGCCCCCTTTAACCCTACCCCATACAATGCTAATACATTATAACGCTCTCTTCTGGGAACAGTTTGTTTAATGAGGATTTGATGGTACTGGAACAGCGAAATTCCGCTGTTGAGGATTATGGAGGATCTAAAACTGATGATGATGCTGATGTGGGAAGAAATGTAACCAACAGCTTATTGACAGATTTCATGAACAAGATTAATGATTCCATGAATACCGTAGCTGAAAATGACTCGAATTACGAACACAGCACTAAAGTGAAAATAGATGTTTATGATGTGTTACCCTGCTGCAAAGAAATCTTTCAGGAGATAAAGGTTCAGGCAAAGCAATCAGCTCTTGATGCCTGCTTCATGAGGAAGGCTTACAGGTACTTCAAGATGAGCCACATCCGAGTCAATCTTTATACAGTATACCCATTGTGTAAGGAACTGTACATAAGTTAATATTTTTAACTATATTCGGCAATTTTATTTAATGTATAATTTTAATAAAGTACAATTTTATGATGGGACACTATGCTACAAGCCGTTTCGAGTCCCAATGGGGTTTTTTTTTCTTCCAATTTACCTAATCCTTCCAGCCGCATTATGGCCATGTGGGGTCGACTCAGCCTCTAACAGAAATGAGCACCAGGAATCTTTCTGGGATGTAAAGGGCGGTCGGCGCGTGAGGCTGACAACCTTACCGCCATCTGTGAGCAGATTGTCTGGAATATGTGGGAGCCTCAGCGTCTCACAACCATATGGGCCTTCATGGCCTGTTGCAGGGATAGCTTTTTACAATTTTAGGAACGCATTACAATTACTCAAATTACCCCCGTAAAACGCTGATTCAGTTACTGCTCTTTTTTTGCAGAACGCATTCCTGCGTTTCCGGGGGTAAGGCAGTATAGTAAAGCCCGTGAAGTTGGCCACTTCTGTAAGTCGGACACCTGTTAAAGTTGGCCACATTTTGACGTGACTAACAAAATAGAATTTACTCATGACGAACCCTATTCATCTTATCTTGTCCAGTGCGTATCCTTCGTCTTGTCCACGATCTTTCACTTAATTTTATGGTTGTCACATGTTTTAAACCTTCTGTGTTGGCCATGCCAAAAAATTACTGATTTTACTGTGTATCAGACTGTAGAAATGAGAAGACTTCACCATTCTGCCCCTTGCATATACCTGCTAAACACCAATTCTGATGTTTCTTAGCGATCTGTAGATCAATTGGCATAGCCTTGATATTCTAGACTTGTGTTTGTGAGGATCTTAGTTCAGATCTCTGCAAGAATTATATTTCTGGCTAGTATTAGAAAGAATCTTTCTCAGACATGTCACCTGTCAGCATTACTGTGAAATGAATAATTATTGTATTAGTAGTATCCGAAAATTTTTATTTCATTTTGAATTCCCCGTCATAACTAGATATGATGCATCTGAGAGATTTAAACGGTTCACTACTGTTGCGTAGATGAACAGAAAGTTACGCCTTTACCAGAGTTCGATAAAGAGGTTGGCTGGAGCTACTGAAAATCACATGCTTACAGTTTGATATTCTCTCTTTATAGGAATTTGACATTGTGCTGACCAAAGTCAATCGTAGTCTTGGTTTCACCTTGCGGAAGGAGGATGAGAGTGTTTTGGGCCACTATGTTCGTGCATTGGTTCGTGATCCTGCCCTTTCTGATGGTCGCATCAGGCCTGGGGACAAAATTGTTGCTGTAAGTATTATCAGTAATGGTGTTACCTACTCCTGTCCGAATTCAGGCCTGCCTTATGGACATAGTAAAAAGCCAAACATCTACCTCATAACTCCTTACTTGTTAATGTTCTTGACATATTTTTGGCAACGCAATCCACACACCAGAGTCATTTATTAGCAAACTGATAGTCTCCGAGCTGGTCAAGAAATACCCTGTTTTACAGAACCCAGAGGTTCTTTACTGTGTTCATTCTGCCCATCACTGGACCCTCTTCTGAGCCAGTTGAACCCAGTTCACATCCTAATGTCCTGTCTTACTTAAGATCCTTTTTAGCGTTATCATTCCGTCTACATCTGGAACTCTAAATTGCCAAACCCCAGAATGCAAAGTTAATATTGACACGTGTTCGAGTGATGATAACGAGTTTTATATTAATAACTGGATTTATTGGGACAATTTTACAGTTCGTGACTACACCTCACACATCACTATCACACATAGACTAGTGTCCTCAGTTACGTTGCTTGGCATTAAACAGCGGACGTGCCTTTGCTTCCAGGCTCACGTCCTTACAGGGTGGCGACCATCTCATACTGTCGATTTTTCGGTTAAATTACCGCTGGCCTTCGCCAGCACAGTCATTCCTGGCTTCAGTCTCCTCGAGATTCATGACTAAGATTTTTATTCTCTCCTAGACACCTACGTGTTTAGAAATGAGGCCGTCTCTTCAACGATGGGTGGGTCGGTTTTTCTATGTAGACGCTACGTTTGTTGCCCCGTAGTTTCATCACGGGTATATCGCCGTTTTCACGTTGTGGTCATTGTCACTGTCACTGCACTGTACTAAGTAACATTAATACAAGGCATACAGGGATTTCCTGTCAANCGAGGTCATTGTCACTGCACTGTACTAAGTAACATTAATACAAGGCATACAGGGATTTCCTGTCAATGAAGGCTTGTGGAACGAGTTATGCCTTGACTTATGTAACTAGTCTGAAACTGCAGTTAGTCAGCTGAACGGCCGTAGGCCAGACCGCCGCCATATTTAAGCCTCTTGTACTTCTATACCTCGCTTCTCCTTGGCCAATACCACGTACATTTCTTTAGGATTAATCCTGTTTCCTGCATGATTTAGTTATATAGCCAGAATTTTGAAAGCCATGTGCAGTTCGCGGACTGGTGTGCACCTGTCAAGATTCCCAGTAGCGCGGAATACTACGTTTTTAAGTCAGAGTCGCATTGCGACTGACGGCCGGTCAGTCAGCAAATCTTGGTGTCGAGCCCCATCTTGACCAGATATTTATTGCTGTTTGACAGTTACGGTCTTGTTTTTGTGGGGCGCCCTCTCTGATGAGAGGACGGGTCTCTGTCTTTTGTATATGCTGTTGGTCCTTGCCAGCGCAGTCTTTCACGGTTACTGTCTCAGATTTGAGACTACACTTTTCGTCGCCTCCTACGACTCGCAGGTTCACGGTGGAGGTATTCGACCCCGCCTCCACATGGGTTACACCTACTCTGTACCGTAGGCAAGGCGCTGCCCTCTTATATGCTCTCGGCACGGACCGCGTGGAAAACACTGCTTCCAACACTTTCTCCGTTGTTGTTGGCACACGTTTACAGTTACATTTATTTTCAATAAAATATATTGTATTTACGCATGTATAGGCCGCAGCACAATTTTCAGACAGAAATTATAGAAAAAATAATTTTCTTGGAATATTATTTCAGGAGTATTACACCCTGTATTACTAATTATGAATATATTTTTTTTTAAATGAAGTGTGACTTCGAATATAAGCCGCACCCCAGTTTTCCTCTTGAATTTTGGGCAAAAAATGTGCGGCCTATACATGCGTAAATATGGTATTATCACACCTCACGCAGACAGCACAAGTTGTCAAGACAACACACACAGGCTGTGGAAAAACCACTGTCACATTCATTCATTCATTCATTCATCAGTAATCTGTCAGACGACAGGTCCACAGTCTCTTCCAAAACAGTTCCTCCACTTAATGCGATCTTCTGTTTTTGGAAAGAGACTATCCAGGAAAAGTGATAATGTGGTAGTTTTTCCATTTGCTTTCCACATCGCAGTACAACAGCCGTTCAAACCACTCTGGTCACGCCTGTTGCTATACGAACTTGAACCATCTCGAGCATCATTTGCTCTGTGCTTCAAGTCGCTGCTGATGACGCTGCTTCCAGCATCAGTTTTTGGTGTCTCTTTTCGTCTGATGCCTACCCTTTGACCTGTCCAGCAAGGGAGGCCCTGCCAGTAGCTACGCTACTGCTGGTATAGCTCTCAGGGTTCTTGGCATACTCAAACCCCCTCACCACGATAAGGTGGAGACACCAACAAGGGGGTGTCACATTCAACCCTGAACAAAATCCCTAATATTTCCAACCATAAGAACTCTATGCTGCGCAATTACATACCTTGCCACTCCACATACCTTGACCTGTCATATCATCAATACATTTTCATTGTAACATATTAAAATTCATAACAAACACAGACATCATATATACTGCCACACTTACAAGTCTCAGAAATGTATTATACAAGCACACAAACCATTTATTAACTCTTTAACGTGTGAGCCTCTTGCATGCTCGACAAATTCGTCACTAGAGTAAAATGAGTTGCTCTGCAAATAATTTCGTGAAACAAACCAAAATTGATTTTTATCATTTTATTGAGTTATCAGTGTAAAAAATTATCTGATTCTGTCAAACGCTGGTCCTGACACAATCATGAAAACAGTTACTAACACATTCTCTTACGATCATATCTGTTAAAGCTGCAATGTAGATATTACTGTATAATTATTGATGCCAGGCTTAAGATGTAAATTAAAAGCAATTATTTAGTCATTAGCGCTGTGATAATATTTAAGCAAATTGTATGACAGTTCGTATTTAGTTTTCTCTTCAATCCACAATATGTGCAGTAGATTCACATGACAAATGTTCCAGGTGAATGATGTGGATATTTCGCCAATGAGTCATGAGGAAGCAGTGATGTTTCTTCGCCAGTGTGGTGACCAGGTGAAGCTTCGTCTCTACAGAGATGCAGCCCAGACTCCAGTGTCTGCCCTCTCTCCTGCTGAGGAGGTGAAGGTTTTCAAACCAAAGCCATTGCTCAGGTAAAATATTTGGAATGGACTGAAATAGATGTTTGTCTCAAAATTCTCATTGAGACACAGTTTTTCCAGCATCCTCAAATTGTGAAGTTACAGTTAATTCTGTAGTACCCTACCGAGCATGCTGTGTTCACTTGTCTGGCCCCTCTTAAAGCTGCAAACATCAGTCTAATTGTCTTTTGGGATGGTTTGATAGGTAGGTACCAACATTGTGGAGGAATCTACTGTATCTACTTTTCAGGGCAGAAGAACCTTTCTTTCCTTAAGATTGAGGCAGCAGGTTCCTCAAAAATGTTGATCCTTATCTATCAAAATATGTGGCTTCACGTTTACATCGTAGACATTATTACAAGAACTACAAATCTCACACAGACTGTGTTGTTATTATTATATTTTTGATGGCCGTTTGAGGGCAAAACATTTAGTGTAAAGGAGAGCAAGATCAAAGACATATAATATATTGTTTGCACTTGGGATGGAGTTTGTATCATTTGTCATATAGAGTGCAACAGGATGCTTAAATATAATAATATTACTTTGTATATTAGAAGGTTCAGTGCTTCAGAACTCCAAATCTTACTAGCTTTCGATATACATTCAATTCCTGTGCTTTCATATTATCCATATAGACTAATGTAACTAAAAACATGTAAATATAAAGGAAATGGGTATATGGAAATGAGATGAGACACTTATGATCAGTAAGATGTTGAAGCATTGTATAGCATTAGGAACTTTTCTTTCTTGAAGATCCTGCATTGCATAGCATCACCATCTGCTGATGTCACCAGGGTTTCTTCTTTATTTCCCCAATGCAGTACCATATCTTGTAGCTTCTTATGTTTTTATGTCCAGTATGTTTCAGCTTAGTTATTTAACTCCTTTTGTCAGTATTCCTCTTATATTTTTACTGTTATATCTAAAAGACACTTATCTCTAATGAAAGAACATTCACATTTCTGCTGTAATCCTTTTAACATGCATACATATTTCTTGATATGATCCCTTTTGCTCTTCTGAGGCTCTTTCTATTGAAATCAATTTGATATCCACTGATATATCTTACTGGGCATATTACAGCTTTTCTATGTTTTAATGGCCTTTAATAGGCCTTACAATCTGTGATGAACTGTGTTCCTATTTTTCTTCATCCTGTCAGTCCACTGCCCTACTTTCATGACAAGGATTTGAGGTTGGATTTTTGGATGGTTATGTTTCATAATTATTATGAAAACTGTTCTTCTTTGTCTCTTTTCCAAATTCTTTTACTCCAGAACTACTGAATATTCCAGTCTCATCCCTTCATATTCCATTTCTTCATTAGATTATAATTTTTTACAACTACTGTAATTGTATCCCCTTTCCACAGATTCCAGTAGCTGTGCAGTCCAGTAGAATTTATATATTCCCATTCTTTCTATATTTCTCTACTGCTGCACACTTTGTCTGTCCTGTGAACAGTTTCTCTATTACATGCAAGCTCATACACTGTTAATGTCTGGCTTGCTAAACTTCGTGGATATCATGGAGAATAATGTTAAAATTTATTTAAAGAAGAAGGATGCAAGGATGTGGACTAAATTTATCTGGCTCAGGATAGATTCCAGTGGTAGGCTGTAGTGAACACTGTAATGGACATTGAGATTGCATAAAAAGCAGGAAATTTCTTGACTATTTAAGTGACTAGTAGCTTTTCAAGAAGGATTCTGTTCATGTAATCAGTTGTACTTCCTGAGCACTTAATTTCTGCCCTTATGTGCTGGAGTACTGAAATGTGCAAGATCCGTGTTATTAAGTGAGTTGAGTTCCATGTATTAAAAATGCATAACCTAACTAACATATTATGTAATTACAGCAATTAGGTGCAGTTGTAGATGACTAATTCTCCAAATTGATACTGTATAAAACTAAATACAAAATACAAAAAGGTGTTCAATACAAAATGAACATTTGACATTTTTCATTACATGCACATGCAGTATGTAAAGTAGAGAAGATGAGATTGAAAAACCACTTCCTGAACATGGCAAAACTGCTTAACTTCCCTGTTCACATTTTCTGTGATACTAGCTCTTTCATCATATGGATGGAACAGTTCCTCCTGCAGAATATAATGTTAAATTCAGTTTTAGTGATAGAAATATATAAATATATGTAATATATTTACAAGTATATGGGAAAGGGTTAATGATGAAGATATGTAATATATTTTAATTTTGTGTGAAAAGGATAAAATATTGTATTCACATTCAAGTTCTAACACCTTGTAAATGTTGGCTGACACATAACTGGCTGAGTAATTTTTTATAACATCTAACAGTGAAAGGGTTTAGAAAGAGCAATGATATCTCAGTTATTTAAGTGCCAAGCTAAAAACTGGATGCTGAGATTCAGCTCCCACAAAGGGTGTTATTTTTTTATGCTCATCACATAGTCCAAATATGGCAAAGATCCATAAGGTACCTATGCAGTGGCTGAGTGAGAGGTATAGATTTCTTTTTCAAGGTACAAAAATGGCTGAAACTTGTATCTGATCACCTTGGTCCATTGTCCCATATTAAACATGGATAGAAATATTACTTAATGTTTTCACGGTATACTTCCTATGCATGGAGATGATTGCTCATCTTCTTAAGTGTCATACTAACAGAATGACAAGTATCAGGTTATCATCATAGAAATAAAGTAGTTTTCAAAGAGAAGGAAAATGAAAGACTGGAGAAAGGATTTGATTTATATCTGACACACAGTTACCCAGTTTGACAGTTTTTCTTGCCATTCCATGGATATTATACCACCTCTTCAATATACATTCTTGGAATAAGCTCAAGCGTTTAAACATTCAGTGAACGGCCAACAGAAATGTATTCAGCATTAGTCTGAACTAGGAAATAGAATAAATTGAATTGAAGTATATTCAGAGTTGGCCCTAAAAGGGTTATTGTGATTTCCTGTGCAGGAAGGAGGCAATAGACATGTTATCAGACTTGGCTGTGAAAAAGCTGTCACCATGTGACTCAAGCAGTTCAAGCTACAGCAGGCTGCGCAGAGTTTCAGATGGACAAAGTTCCTCTCCATGTTCATCCCCTCGGAGACGTCAGCTCGTTAAGACGCCTTCACCAGATGTGCATGCAGCTACCTCAGACAGTTAGTAACAATTCAGTGCTTGGTGCATCCTAGTTAGTAGTTTCAGAATGGGTAAATAGAAATTCTGGGTTATAATGCATTGTTCACACTCAATTTAAAAATGTACTTAATCTACTGAGTCACCTAACTCCGATAAAATATGGTGTGAGAGATCTGATATTAAAATAATTTAGCATTAAAAGTTTGTATTAAAAGCTTTTGGGCTACTTAAATTTGCTGTTTAGTTATGTCTTTCTCTGTTTTGTGCTGGATCTAGTTTCATTCATAAATTAAATGGAGAATAACGTATTTTGACTCAATTTACTTATATTTGTTATTACATATATGGTTTTAATGCATAAATTTTGTGATCCAAATATATATGGTAGAATAATTATTAATGTTTATTTTTCAGAGCTTGGTCAAAAATATATAGTAACTAGTCATGTTGGTGACTCCGACTCTTCTGGTGAGCAGTCTCGGACAAGCATGGATTCCACAAAGGGGAGGGGTAATGCAAGCAGTTTTGCGTATACTACAGGCAGTGGTGATAGCATTGACATGAAACCTCAGCGTCCTAATTTTCTTGATTTGTGTGCTGGCAATACCACGCCAGGCTCGTCTAGGAAACAAAAGTTCACATTTTCTGTTGCAGCAACTGGAGGTAATGAATGGGACTCTCTTGCCCCAACTAGTGAATCAGATGAGCTTGCAACTAACACAACACTTGGTAGTGTAAGTCAGTACTATCCAACTACAAGTAATAGCAGTGACGAGTTCAGGACTGATTGTGTGGATGATAGTGGCCCAAACTATGATAGTAATTTACCAACAGAGCCAGCAAGTATGCCACCTCTAACAAACCTGTCATCAACGTCCAGCACGTCAACTGCATTCAGTTACAGGAATCCAGCCTACCAGTCTGCACATCCAAGTTGTTATATGTCAAACAGTCAAAACAGTATGAGGAAAAGCTTGGAAGATACAACTGAACATGCATCAGATCAAGACATACCAGGAAAACTGTCTAAACATCAGACTGGATCTGGTGGTGAGGGTTCTAGAGGGTTACTCAAGTGGAAGGGGATTGTGTTCACACCAGAGAATGATGCAGTAGAGGAAAGGGAGAACAGTAACATCACCCCATGTCCAGAAGACTCCAGCAGTCAGCTTGCTATGGACAAGGAAAATGAACAAGGAGATCAAGTAAGTAAATCCTCATATTGCAGTTAGTACTTTGAGCATTTACATTTCATATGTAGGAAAACTGTCTGGTTTAGTAATAAAAGCCTGAACAGTTATTCTTTTATGTGCCACAAAGTCTAATCCCTTATTGCTCCTTTAATTAGTACACTGCATAGTACATGTATGGTGTTTCAGCCATATTTAATTGATCACAGAGCTATAACTGCAAGAAAAATTTCAGAAGTTTTGAATTGTGGAATGAGTGTAATGCCAATTACTTTTCAGAGCATATGTAGCTTTACAAGCCTAATGATGCTACAGACTACATAACATCGAGCACAAGTAATTATGTGTGACAGCTGTTGACAGTAAACAGTAAAACCTTCTTATAATGGACTGATAGGGGGACAAGATGTCAGTTATAGCTGATGTCTGCTATATCTGAGTGAAGGAGTATTTGTGGAAGTACACCTTAGGATACATAGTGCATACATGCTGTAAACATAGAAACACACAATGTTATACCTTTACTTACTCACTCACTCACTCACTCACAGAGCTGAGACCTTTGTGAGGAGCCGCCAATTCTGCAACTACTCAAGAATTTCCCAGCATTGTATGGGACCCAGAGGTTCATTACCGTGTTCACAAGAGCCCCCCACTGGTCCCTATCCTGAACCAGATCAATCCAATCCAATCCATACCATCCCATCATATCTCTCTAAGTTCCATTTTAGTATTGTCCACCCACCTATGCCTTGGTCTTCCCTACTGTCTGTTTCCTTCTGGCTTTCCCATTAATATTCTATAGGCATTCATAGTCTCCCCCATTCGTGGTACATGCCCTACCCATCTCATCCTCCTTGACTTGATCATTCAAATTATACTTGGAGAAGCGTACAAGTTATGAAGCTCCTCTTTATGCAGTTTTCTCCAACTTCCTGTCACTTCATCACTCTTCGGTCCAAATATTCTCTTCAACACCCTGTTCTCAAACACCCTCAGTCTATGTTATCCCTTAATGTCAGAGACCAAGTTTCAGACCCATACAGAACCACAGGAAAAATTATAGTTTTGTATATTATAGTTTTTATGTTTTTGGACAGCAGACGAGAAGACAAAAGGTTCTGGACTGAATGGTAGCAAGCATTACCAGAGTTCAGTCTCCTCTAAATTTCTTCCTCAGTCAGGTTTTGATTTGTTATATCTTTCCAAAATATCTGAACTGTGCCACATTTTCAAAACATCTGTTTCTTATCTTTATGTCATGATATTGCCCTGCATTTTGGTGAGGAGACAGCAACATATACATAGTTTTCTCTGTGTTTACTTCTAGACCAACCTCCTTACTAGCAACAATGAAAGTTTGTGTGTTTTTCTTTATGGTATCTGTATTATCACCCAGTAGATTCACATCACCAGCATAGACCAACAGCTGATGTGTCCCATTTAATTTTTAGTCCCACCTGTTTTTTTTGGACCTTTCTAATGTGGCATATTCTAGAGCAAAGTTGAAAAGGAGTGGAAATAAAGAATCTTCTTGTTTTAGATTATTCAGAATAGGAAATTTATCAGACAAATGTGTACCTATGTGGACTTCACTATATATTTCCTTTAAACACAATTTAATCAGCCCAACTAGTTTCATGGGTATCCTAAACTCTATCAGAATATTGTACAATACTTCCCTTCTAACTTAATCATAGGCTTTCTTGAAATCTAACTTGTATTTTAAGATTTCTTCTGCCACTGCCCTGAGCGAACCTGCCCTATACATACTTTTCTGACTTTCCAAGTACCAAATCTCATGTCCATTTTCTTTAGCCTCGGTCGTTTTTCCAGATGATCCATCAAGGTCCAGTGCTTTGTTTTAATTTTAGTAACATGATTATTTTTTACGGTGAGGAGTTGTTAGTGTCACGCCCAACCCCCAATCTGGAGGACCACCCCTTGTCAACTGTCCGCGACTGTTTATTCAATGTATTCGCAGCTTCCCTCCATACCTGGAGGGCGTCTACTCCATCCGCTACCCTGAGGATATGCCGTGCTGTGGTGACAAGGCACCCACCTAACATGGCACAATGTTTTACATAAAGGTTTTGTATCAGGGATCTTTTTTTTTATTTTTAATAATTTCTAACTACAAAAGCTTCTTAGTGCATCAGCATCTGTAATAATTCACAGTTGTACACAGCGATCTTTCGTCCATTATATCTGGGCCCGTTATAACAAGAGTTTACTGTATTCCAGTTTATATCACTTTCAGTTGCAAAAATTAGACATTACTATTCAGAACTTCTTTTGAAGCTAATATATTGATACGGCCATGATGGAACAGTAATTTATATTTTGACAAGTACTGTCTTCTGTGATGCCATATAATAGGGTAGAAGTTTACAGATGTTTAAGAGGAACATACTGGTTCCACCTTCTGGGTCAAGGTGTAAATAAAGCAAGCAAACAAGCAAGTAGTAAGCTGATGGCTCTTTACTTCATAATCACCACCAAAAGACTCTCAGGTCTCTCAAGTGTACAGCTTGTCTAGATAAATTCTCAGCAACAGTCTCCTAACTCGAGTGTAACGTGGAATATTGACATCTAAGTGTGACCCATTTTATATGATTTTTCCATAAAACTTACTCCTAGTAATAGTTTTATATATTTCCTCCACTGCCACACATTAGCCTCTGAAATACTGTTTCCTAGATGTCTTGAAATTAATAGTCTCCTCAGTATATATACCATATAAACATGAATTAAGGAACAACAGATGCAGATAAGGGAAGTGAAAGAACCTTTTTATCAAGAATTTCTCTTGCCTCCTCATGGTCTAAAATGATTCTTAAGCTTTTGTTTAAATGGTGCAATTATTCTAAGTGGTCCTGAATTAAATGATAGTAATTACATATCAGGATACATGGTAGCATAGTTGGTTGAGGGGCTATGCTACAAGCTGGAAGGTTGCAGGTTCAAGTCGTGATGAGGTCATTGGATTTTTTTCAGTTGACCTAATCCTCCTAACTGCACTATGGCCCTGGGGTCAACTCAGCCTCTAACAGAAATGAGTACCAGGAATTAATTAAATAATTTTCTTGGGGAGTAAATCGCGGCCGGTGCATAAGGCTGACAACCTTACCGTCATCTTTGAGCCGACTGTCTAGATAATGAGGGACCCTCAACGTCTCACAACCCTATGGGCCTCCGCAGCATGTTACAGGGATAGCTTTACTTTTACTTTTAATTACATATCATCATCCTCAATACAAGGCCCATTGAAAGCTGTTTTGGATATTACAAACCTCAATACTTCCATCATTCCAGAGGTCTTCCAGAACTTCTTTTTCCTTTTGGCTGATATTTTAAGATTTCTCTTGGAATTCTGTGAACTTGTGCTTTGGCTAGCAACCAATTTGTGGGACTTATATTGCTTTTTTGTGCTATGTAAACAGGAACGGATTGCATATCACGAATAATTAATCACACATAAATGTTCTGTATTAAAGCTGTTTGTTACTCATTTTCTGGTGAAGGCTTTCTCTAGCCACTGTGTCAGAAGCTTACTTGGAAGTTAGTGAGCAATGAATGAAAATCAGTCAAAATTAATAGACATTCTCCATTATCAATCCCAATCAGCTGCTGAATAAGTTGTATGCCCGCTTCTAAAATCTTATTGATGGTGACCTAAACAGCCTAAAAAATGTCATTCCTTGTTGGTATTTCACTGTTGTTGTGGAGTTACAGAAATAATTCTGCAAGAATCTCTCAGTTACTACCCAGTCCTTTCCAGTAACATTGCCATATCTATCTTTGTACAAGTACATGGAAATCCTTGGCTGAAAAACGCCCTTTTTACTTTTGGTTATTTTGTAAAACTTTTGTACAGAATTCTTCCATTTTGTTTCTTTTGATTCCAAAATTCCTCCTCCCCTCTCACTGGAACACACGCTGGCTTAAAGTCAGTCATATCATGATTACATTTTTTATTAACTAAGAATTTCTTACTAAACATACTTGTATTATATTATTCATACTTTTGCAATAAAATGAAGTAAAATCCTCTCCACTTTTTTTAGACTTTCCATTCTTTTTTAATTGCTGAAATATCTCTAATTCCAGTTCTAGTTTATATAATATTCCTGTCCTGGATAAACTTAGCACATTCCAAGCAGCAAGATGTTACTCATTACTCTAATAACCTTTCTTTAGTCATTCTCCAAAATTTTTCTCGTTCTTGTCGTCATCATCAGCGCACCTGATGATGGCTGAGTAGGCCAAAACATGTAGTGCAGTGACAAATTTTAAAATGATTGAATCATAAATCTTGACATTGTTGCATGTGAAACAACTGAAAATAATTTTTTTTTGTCTTGTGTTTGTTGTTAGGTTCCTTAATACACATTGTATTTATGAGGTGAGGTGGTTAGCTTCACACCCAACCTCAGACCTGAAAGACTCCTCTCATCTGACCCCTACCCTTTGACTGTCATGGGTGACTATACCAGGAGCTTGCAAATGCCCCCTCCCCCCCCAGCATAAATCAGCAGGTGATCATGGAAAGCAAGCCTTCCCACCACATTAAGATGGCAGCTCAGATGGAGTATATTAAAGTTATTATTATACATATACAGTACCTTATATGTGTAGTTCATAACAGTTACCACAGGGCATCATTGTACATCCACAAACCAAGTAACATTCAGCAGCCATGAGATTATTTCCTAAGCTAAAGGATCATTATCTTTGGTAGAGCTGTAGCAAAGAGGTTGAACAGAATGGATTCACATTTTGTGGATATTGCATCATTAAAAACATGCTTTAAAAGTGCATGTACCTAAAACTGGATGGATTGTATGCAGTAACAAAATTTGAGCAGTTATTGCTTTTTAAATATATCCATATAAGTGTGATACTCATATGAGCACCACAAGTTTTGAGATATTCTGAATGTTAAAGTGTAATGGACACTTCTTCTGCATTGCATGCAGAGGTATCCAGTCCAAGTAATGACCACAGTCCCAGTTATGTTGACTTAGGTTTTTGCTGTTCTTTCCAAGCAAGAGGCAGAATAAAACTTGTGGCTATTTCCTTTCAGAGCATTCATGACGCCCAGTCATGATCTCATTTCACAGTGTATAATTTAGTCAATTCATACAGAATTATTAAACTACCTACACCCCACATACAAGATCATTCCTTTGGATGCATGATAGTTAAGGCAGTAAATTAATGATCTACAGATTGGATAGCTAGGGTTTCAGTTGGAGGTATAGGGTTCAAATTTTACTTTTCACCACCATATACTTAATGTTCTGAGACCCACTGAGAATTATATCCATTAAGTACTGGATGCACCTCATCAGGAAAAATATCTGCCCCCAATATACCTTTGTGGTATGCTGCTTGGGTACAAGGCATTCTTTACCATTTTAAACCTACTGTAACATGAAACTTGTAGGATCTACACTGTCTGAGAATGAATGGATAAGTCACTTTTATCAGGAGGGTCATTATGTTTGATCTTATCTTAGTCCATATCAGTATATGATGCTGTATTAAATTCCTTCAGCATTAGTGGATATGTATAAAGGCTTCAGGATCTGCATAGCTGCTGTTTAATCTGTGGAAGTCATCTGCAAGTATCTGTAAATTTGTGCAATATGTCAACAAATGTAAACACAAAAACTCACTTTTTGTATTTTTATGGTAGTTGAAGTGTTATTAAGGTTACACACACGCTCTGGTAGATAATATATGAATGTTAAACATCTTTAAAATGGTAACTTCAACTCACATAGTTATGTAGATGATCTCTAAGCTTTGAACACAATACAGAAGTTACTGTGATAATTTATATACTCCCGTTTTGTAGATGTGCAGGTGCGTATGATCTTATAAAAAAAATTGCACTTATTGTAATTATCCAGGACACCAGTCAGTGAAGCTCTTTTGTACTCATGTGAAATTTCTCAATGAATGTTCTCAACAAAGAACATGAAACATTTGACACCCTCTTCTGCCCTCATTGTCCTCACTTTGGTAAGTGCTGCGTCCTTTCTGTACGAGCCAGTGTGCATGTTATTGTACATTCGGATCTCAGAGAGATAGCAAGGAAAGTACACAGGAAGAAACTTCATAATTTGTGCTCTTAACTTAGTATCATTAGATTGATTAAATCAAGGATGAACAGTCAAGGTATTTTGCATGCATGGGAGGAAAAGAAATGCAGAAAGGGAACACTTGTGAGAGTCCTGGGCATAGGTGGGAGGCAGATAATAAAACATATCTCAGAAAAGCAATTAAGAAAGACGTGAAGTAGGTTGAAGTGGCTTAGATTAGAGTGTGATTGATGAAATTTTAAGTCTCATAATAGAGTTTCTGTTTATACTGAATAACTCTGAGTGTTATGCTGGACTCTCGACATGGGCATAGTACCCTAGTTTCCCCTGTGTTATTAATATACAGGCACTCTTCTCATACCAACATTAGTGTTAGTGTGATTCCCTGTCTGTAAGGTCTTTATGGTGGAGCTGACTCGGGGCTGGAATAGTCGATTAGGCTTTAGTCTGCAGGGAGATGGTCATCACACTTACATCAGTGCCATATATGCAGACAGCGTGGCTGCAAAGGATGGTCGGTTGCAAGCAGGAGACCAAGTACTCATGGTAATGGACAATATTCTTTTTACATTCAGTAACTATCATGTAAGTGCTATATTAGACTCTCTAACTCTTTGACTGGCGCGGGCGTGTTTTAACACCCGGACGATGCCAGCCATTCCCTGGCGTTGGTGTGTTTTAACGCTTTGACAATCTCTTCCCTTCTTTGCTCTCTTGGCACTCATCAACCAAAGACATATATATGATAGTTTTTGTACATGTTTGTAAAGAACCCTTGTAAACTTTGTAGGGGTCTATATTACTGTCAGAACCCTCTGAGAAGGAAAAGGTTAGAAAATATTTCACATTCATTCAGTTTCACCATGGCTTCTTGCAGCAAGTGTCTTCGTGTTCCTACAGACCAGCTGGAAAATGTTGTGAACGAGATTTGTTCTGATGATGATAGTGGCGATGAAATAATGATTCCTGAATTGGATGAAGTTGATAGTGACAATAATACAGTGATAGACAATGATCCACAAGACAGTAATCATGAACATTTACCTACCACGAGTGCGGTGCCTGACACGCCCATCTCATGAACGTACGGAGACATTGTACCCCCAATATTTCCATTTGCTAATAGTTTCGGGATCAAAATTGATATAACACATAAAATGCATCCCTTTTCATGGATTAAAATTTTTTCTGGATGACGACTTGGTAAATCACATCACAACTGAAACCAATCGCTATGCTCACCAGCACTTCAACACACATGAGTTAGCTCCTCACTCTCGAAAACACAATTACAATTATGTCACATCAGATGAAATCTGGACATACTTAGGAATTGTGTTCATGACAGGAATCGACAAACGCCCTGAAATTGAAGAATATTTGTCCACTAGGCCCCTATTTCACACCCATGGTATGGACAAAACATGTCTTTGCGGTTGAATAGTTTCATTCTATTCAAAAGGACCACAACAAACGAAAAATACAAGAAGAGAAATTACAGATTCAAAGATGTTATATTGGACTGTATAGAAAAATGACTGAACCAAACAAACAGGTGGAGAGGGAGAAGAGTCAAGGAATGAAGTGGATGACGAATCTATTGCGTCAGACTTGAGTGCAGTCACGCCTCCGCCCTCGACCTTGAAAACACCACCAGTGAAAGAGCCAGTAAATCATCTAGAGGGTGGCTTGAAAATTCACAAAATGGTCCTTGTTCCTCCCAGTAACAAGAAGAATGGTGCCCTGAGAAAGTGTCGCGTGAGTGCTAAGCACAAGATTAGAAAAGAAACAAGTATCATGTGAGCAGGCTGTGGTGTGGCTCTCTGCAAACTTTCATGTTTCAATTTTTATCACACGAAGAAAAACTAATAAAGAGGCATGGAAAGGCATTTATTGCATAAAATATTGTATTTAATTAGTTCCTGAAAATTTCGTTTTTAAAAACCACTTTTTGTTGAAGTTGTTTAGGAAAAAGTAACTATATGCATTTTAGCGACATAAGGTTTAAAGGGCCTGGCAGGACAGGGGTGGGATTTAAATACCCTTCGCGCCAGTCAAAGAGCTAATATAGGACATATAATTCCTTGGTAGGACATTTTCTGTTTAAGTGCTCAGTTGTGCTGCACGCCATAATATAAGTTGTATTTAATAATGTTTTTAAGCTCAATCTTCACATAAAAGCTCCCAAATATAAAATTTATAAGTAACCAGCCACATTCCTGTAGTTGTTCGCATTACTGTGTTACAGAAATATGTCAGAGCCTTTAGAATGATAATTTAAATGGTAGCAGTTCAGTAATTCTTTATATCATTGGAATTCTGTATTGAGACACAGCTCTGTGTTGTCAAAAATTAACAGCTTTCTACTACACAAACATCCACCTGAGGACAGAGACAGATCCAGTCTCTGAAACGTTTTGGTTTTTTGTCTTATATATACCAGACGATGGATGGAGTCCAAAATAAGCCTAATAGTTCTGTACAAACATTTTTATTTATGAATACTGCTTTTGTTCAGCCATTCTCAGAATCGTAATCTTACAGAAACAGTCTTAACTCATGCACACCTAGTAGTAGAATTCACCAGCAGAGTGATGCAAAGAGGAAATATGTCTAACTTCTCCACTTTGAGAACCACCAAAATTTATTATTATGTATTATAATTTCATGGCATTTTGTGCATCTTCCACTCAGCAATTTATTTTCATTTTGTGATTCCTCAGTTCAATATGTAGGAACCCGTATTTCTTTATTCCTTGAGTGGACAGACCACAGCATTCACCAAGGGCTATGAACACAGCACAGTTACTGGCTTCAAAGTAACAGACATAAGATACAATTAATATTTTGCTGGACATTATCCATCATCTTGTCTATTCTAAAAAACAGTCTAATTTCTATTAAAAAACACAATGTTTCGGGAACTGGATTCTGTCCCCGTCTCCTGTCTCCNTGTCTGATGTGACTGTACAGTGGATATGCTTATTTTTATCTTATTGGCCAGATGGGCCATGATCAGAAGGACACTGAAAGGTTACTTCCCTACATAAAGCAGTTTTACAGCTTTTTTGACAGAAACACAATGAAAGGAGACAGACTACTTCATGTACTGAGATTTTTACATTTTAATATTGTCACGTGATGGAGTCAGTATGTGACTATAAATGGGGTTTGGATTGGTAATCAGATTTATTTGCCTCTGAAACACTTATGACTACACTTTACGGGTCATTGTCACACACAGACTAGTATTCTCAGTCATGGCCTTCACTGCACCACTTGATAAAATATTCCAACAGTGGATGTTCCTGTGCTCCCAGACTCAAGTCCCCATAGGCTGCTGGCCCTCTCCTACCAGCCTTCTGCTCTTCTAACTGCCATCCCAAGAGTGAGAGTGGTGGTTTACATCCAATCAGTTCATCGTGGCACCATGTCTATTGAGCTCACAACCTGAGATTTCTTTCTTTTTTGCAACTGAACCCTTGCAGTCATAGTCCTTATTTAACATCCTCTCTGACAAGAGGATGGGGCAGTTGGCTCTCATTACATATATAACCTCGGCACAGACCACACAGAAACACCACTTCTAACAGTTTTGTTGCTGTTGTTTATTGATGACGCTGTCTGAGTGGACCACACAGAAAAAGCAGTTCCTCTGTTGCACGTGTAATTGTTGTTATGCAGATGAGGTTTTTACTGTGCCATAACCTAGTAACTGCTCTTTCTTCTGATTAAATTATTTTGGCTTTCAGTGTTTATGCCACATTGCTCCCTCCTGCTTGTCCCAAGTAGCCTACAGGCTTACCTCCATTTCTTCTTTTCCAAGGGGACATGTCTAATATGTATATTCACCCTGGCAGATGGGACTTCGTCTTGCTGGCGTCAGCACTTCTTCCGGTGCTCACCTTTCTTCGTGGTTAAAGTGGTGTGATGTCATCCTCCAACTCTCCAACTTCTCCCTCCTTAGGGCTGTTCACCTGAGCGGTTCCCTGATAAGGTGCGATCCAGTCCAGGTGTATGATCATCATCATTGTTCTAGGATGCTGCTTGATCTTATATATGACACTATTTTTCTGGTTGACTGCCTTGTATGGGCCCTCCCATGAGTATTGAAGCTTGAGTGACTTCCCTTTCAAGCCCTCCTTGTAGCCCAGAGAGTTGGCCAGGCAGTCATGCTGAGTTTTCATTTGGTCACTGGCCAGCTTCAGGCGTTGGCTTCACTGTCCCCTTGCACACTCTGCGCAGGCCTCAACTTCTTTTAGCTGCGCCAGGACCTCATGTCGATTGGCCTCTACTAGGGCGCCTGTGTTTGCATCTCAACCTGGACCATGAGGCTGAGTTCTTCATAATGACTCGAGAAAATTCTCCATTTGTTTGATTTTATGGAGTTGGGATGCCATCTATAAGTAATTCTGACCAACAGCTTATCTTCACTGCTGTAGAAAGTTCAATCAGAAACATCTTTAATAAGCAATAAGCGATTCATTTCATAAGTTCTCACTGCTTAACAATCGACAGAACAAAGTATTGTCTACCCCAGGTTTGGATTATAAGAAATTTATCCTTGATCTTGATGTCTGTAAACATTCAGTCTCTAGGTAACCACATTAGCTTTGATGTTGTTAGTCTTTCCAGTAATGTGTCAGTCAATGAAGCCCTACAAGCTCCATAACAACGTCACATTGGCGGAATGATATGTCTTGAAAGTGAAAGCCATCATAGAACTGCTGGAAGTTTGTTTGAGAACCATATATTTTCAGGTGATGATAAGTTTTTCCAGCAGAAAGATGGCAGGGCTATGGGAGGCTCTCTATCACCCATCATTAGCAACACCTACGTAGAGCATTTTGAGGAATTGTCTCTTGACTAAACACAACACAAACCACCACTGTGGCTCTGGTATGTTGATGACACTTTTGTGGTCGGGCCGCTTGGCCCAGAGCAATTAAGAATTTTCTCAGCCACATCAATAGTTTGAGACCTTCCATCCAGTTCACTAAGGAAATAGTCAATGTACTACATTTTCACGATGGTCTGGTCAGCAGGAAAAAGACGACGCTGGCCACCATAGTTTATAGAAACCCAACCCATGCTGGCCGCTATTTCAGATTCAGCTTTAACGATCTGCAGCATGTGTAAAGTGTCTAATTCTGAGTATTCACAGTAGAATTTCCACCATATGCCAAGAATGACAATATCTATATAATGAAATTAGTAAGCGGCTTCCGTAGTCTAGAGGTAACGTTCCCACCTCATGACTCATAGTAAGTGGGTTCAAATACCCGGCGGAGGTTGTCGAATTTTTAAGGGCAGAAAAATTCAGGGAACAAGTCCTCCAGGAGGGACTTTAAGCCGTGGGTCCTGTGTTGTAGCTTTACAGCACGTAAAAGAACCTCATATCTCCAAAGGAGGTCACTGAGCCAAATTAACGGACGTTTCCCACCCAGCAGCAGTCTCTAATACCTCTGGTAGATGGGGGAAGCATTATAGATACCTCTCAGCTAGTAGAGCCGGTCTCGCTAGCTGGGCGGAACTGATGGTAAGCACCAGTACCGGTAGGATATAGAGACTGGTAGACATCATAGAGGGAAGCACAATGGACCAATACAGGTCTCAGTGCATGGGGAAAAAAACCCACACTCTCCAATAACTAACTAAGTAACTAACTAATGAAATTAGTAGCCTGGGACATGATCTTCAGCTCAACAGTTATCTCCAAAGTTTCATTGGTTCGGTTATTAATTCCAAGGGTAGCAGTTGGCCAACTAAATTGGAAAAGCCTTTGGGCTCTGTGTATATCCCTTATATGAAGGGTGTTTCAGGGTAGTTAATCTTATAGGGAATTGATATAATGTTAGGACCATCTTCAAAACTAAACACACTCTTACGAGTTCATTCATGAAAACCAGGCTGGAAAGAGATCCACAACAGATGGCATAGTGAATCTATAGCATTCACTTTTGTCGTGGCAGGAACTATATTGGCAAAACAGGCAGACCTCTAGCTGTGCGGCTCCATGAACACAGGCAATGTCTCAAAGAGGATCTCATAGGAAAATCAAAATTAGCTGAACATGCCTATGAAGAGGGTCACAGGGTAGGCTGAGATGAAGCTAGGATTTTGGAAATTGAAAGTAACAGCAGGTATAGGAAATACAAGGAATTGGCCCAGATGGCATGCTTTAACCAATCTGATCAGCCAACCCAGTTTGGGCATTTCTCCTGTTTGGATCCCCCTTATCAGCAGTGAGGTTACCAATTCACAGAGAAGATCAATACGATGTGACATATTCTTTATAAGTTTCTATAAGGTTTTAGTCCCAAGTGTTCAGTTTTTACTCCACGATGTCATTAGCAGTAGGCACAAAATGGTTTCACAAATTCTCTGTTTAATCCTATTCATTGATTTTCATGGACTTAGTTTGTTGGCTAGGTTTATTGCATAAAATTTCACCTTCCTTTCTGCCTTAGTTTCAGGTCTGTTCATGTTTTATCACAATTTTTATTGCATGTTTTACTGTGGGTTCTCCAGTGTCTAGCTTTTAGGATCCCAACAGTGGACAAAGTCCAAAAACCCAGTAATTCTGACAGTTATACACCATGATCAGAACCATTTAGAATCTACTTTAAAAAGTTATAATGAATCGTAATGTAAGGAAACTGTGTGTCCCCATTCAGTCAGTTACAACATATCAGGAGAAACAGTATTTCCCTTAGGCTGATAAAGGTTAAAGGGAAAACGAGCATAGCGTGACCTATATCACAAATATTTGAGTAATGTGATTTCACCTGTATGGATATTATCAACTTGAACATGAATATAAAATTCACAGTAGAGATCATAAATGTGCCTGTACAGACATTTTGAATAAATATTAAATTTCTTTTCCTAAACACGACATGCAAAATAACATCAAATTCAGGCAGTATATTTTTAAGGAATTATTTGTTATGAAATTCATATCATATGTGCACATGTTGATGTAGGAGAATAAGTATCTTGCCATTGATGCCATGCGTGTGCCTCAGTGGTGTAGGGGAATGGCTGGTAGCATGGTTGCTGCTGTCCCTCATATTCTAGATTGTGCAATGTGTTACCTTTTTCATTTTCATGCATCTGCTATTCTGGTTTTATTACAATTGTGAACTGAAAAGAGATCTGTAGGAATGCATCTCCACACATAACATGGGGAGTCAGTGAAGAAATAGGGTTTGTGTGCAGGAATGTCATGATATGGACACATTTTCTAGAGCATGTTACTTTCGTTACACAGAGGAATGTTGTATTTAAAGCACCTACCATTAACTTGTGCATTTAATGATTCTGAGGTATTAAAACTTACAGATTTGGAAACTTCTAGTAAATCTAGTATATGTAATAAACATAATATGTTTAGATGTGACCATATACATATAAATGTAACATGACAATAATTCTTTTATTTATTGCCATGCAGTGAACATTTTTCATATGGTTGCTGTGTACTTACTGTGCCCATTTTCTTAACAAATTAAATGGGATCATAGAAATTCAGACTGTTTTTGCATGCTGCAGTTTTGTGATAAGTAGGATGTCTGTGAAAGGCATGCAGAATGGAAACCATATTTGCATTTATTATAAGATTCACTAGGCATCTAACTATCTGAACACAAATTCACTGAAATTGTTTCTGCAGGCACCACATGCTTGCAACTAAAATCTATCATCTTCATTCACTCCATTCTACAAAGTTTTATAAGTTAGATCATAGTCCTTTCTTGTGGGAAAGAAATTTAGCACTGTCCACAACACAAGTGTTGATGGTTGTGTGAGGTATTCTGCATGTTGCCAATAGGTGGTGTGCATGCCAAGTAAACGAAAAACAGGAACACTTAAAATTTGGTTTAACACTGGATATGAAATATGGCAGTTTCCATGGTTCGGGATCAGTACAGTAATACATTTACCAGCACATTCTGAGTAGTACTCTCAGTGCTACATTTTTTAGTGCACAGTTTTCTGGTCCAGCAGATACATTACTATTATTATACTTCAAATTTATTTTTAAGAAATTTCCATAAGTACAGAGCAAAAAGACACCCACAAAGATCATGGTGATCCCATAAGCCTGTGAGTCTTACTTAAAGAAGGAAAGTAGCTTAAAAATTAGAGGATAGTGATAACTATCATATAAAATAACAAACTGAAGATTTTTCAAGGTGGCAGCAGCAACAGCAACATTTGTTACCAGGTATGGAAGGACATACATTATAACCTCCACAGAGGACAGGTAACAACATTTCACAATATGAAGAACACATAATAACATGTATACACACTTTTGTTTTCTTACAGGTGAATGATGAGAATGTAGAAGATATGAGCACTGCTGAGGTTATTGATCTGCTAAGAAAGATTCGTGGTACAATTGGAATCACAGTTTTGAGGAAAAGTGGACCACATCTTCAAAGTTCATGACTGCTTGTCAGGAAAAATTATAGATTGTGTCCTTGAGTCATTTATGTCCCAGTTTTTTTGGAGGGCACTGTTTTCCTGTGTTCATTGCTTCCTTTCTAAACAGAGAACCCAGGAGTTGCTGCTGTTCTCAGATATTTTCGTTTGTGATTCAGATCTAGTTTATTAAGTTTAAAAAATAAAATACTGCTGTTTTACAAGAGACATAATGTGTTGATGTCTATGATAAAATAAATGTCATAAAATATCTATAAATCAGTGACTGTTTCAAGATATGAAATGTGAGGTATTAGAAAATGTGCAGCAGAGGCATTAACAATACTAGGCAAAATATAAGAAAGCTTCAATAGTGAACACAGGGTAAAATGATAAGTTCTGTCATTCTCATTACAGATTTCAATGCCAGACCTGATTTTCTTCCTAAATTAAAGTGTTGTATTCAGATTCTTCTTGCTCCAGCTTTATTCAACTGTGCCATTAAGTATAAAGCATTTGCAGTATTTTGAATTTTGTAGCTATCTGCTGTCTAGGAATTCATTTCTGTCTTAGTGCAAATGCCATTTTATATTTTATAAAGAATTTATAGTGTAAAATGGATAAAAGATCAAATATGCAACTTATTTCTCTTAACTATGAAGGAGATACCGGCCAGCCATCTACCCATTTTTGTGTCTTATCTTTGGATGTGTGGGCTGTGACAGCAACTTTGAGAAATAATTTGCATATGCTCTTTCCTGGGGATTTAGAATTATTTTGTTGTATATTAATCTGGTTAGAATGAAATGGCCTAGATTAAGTGGATCTAAGTATAATCCTGACACACCAACTCTTATTGTTAAACTCTTGTGATATGGAGTATTAGTCTTAAAACCAGGTTAAGTGTATCTACCAATGGAAAGCACTTAGTGTGCTATAGTATCTTAAAACCAGGTTAAGTATATCTACCAATGGAAAGCACTTGGTGTGCTATAGTATTTCATTGAAAATGAAAGAAAAAATATAGGATTTACAAAAAGTTCTGTTGCAATATTAAGTTCACTTTCACACATATGTGAACACTCCTTGTTGTAAATATGTGAATAGTGGGTAAAGTTTGACTGAAAACTGATTTCTAAAGATTATTGAAACCTTGAAAATTAAGTATAGCTTGTAACATATGTTCATAAATGTTTAATTATTTTTGTAAGGCACTTAGTATTATGGTAAAATTAAAAAAAATATAGATTTTGTGATTGGATGGATGCAAAAAATACTTTGTGCTTCCATTCAGAGTGAATTTAATATCAGTAAACAAACAGAAGTACATGTCACCAAAGAATAACTGTAGACCTATCATATGTAAATATATTGGAGATTTGATTTAGAATTGAGATTTTGATTTTAAATATGAATAGCTCCCCGTCATCCATTGGGGTCCACCAAATCTCCTTCCTATCCAGTGGGTACTGGGGGCTCTTTCCCCTGGGATAAAGTGATCGGGGTATGAAGACTGACCCTCACCTCCAGCTAGTGCTGAGGTCAAGAAAATGTGGGTCTATACATATCCACTCCCCCATGCATCTTCATGGTGTAGTGCTTAATTAGTTAAGCACAGGGACAACTTTACCTTTACAGGAAATCATTGTGCTCCCGAAGTTCTGATGTATCAGTAATGTGGTTCAGTCAACAAATTAACATCAATCTCTACGAGGTTAACACCTTGTAGTTCATTTATTTTAATATGTAACATTTGTCATTGTCCGACATATTTCATTTCAGTTTTAAGTTTGTCAGACTCATTTAACCAGTCGTACAGCACGACAATGTCATCAAAGTCTTCAAGAGGCCTGCGGGGAATCTGCATTGCCTTACAGAACAGTGGCAAGGTGGGTAAAAGCCTTCAACGAGGGACACCAAAATGTGGCAGACATGTGTCGGCCAGGTAGGCCTAGTGTCAGTGAAGAAGTGTATGCTCTTTCTGCATTATTGGAGAGTGATCGACGTCATACGATTTGCGAGCTGGCCTGAGAGACAGGATTAGCACATATGACTGTGCTTCACTTTCTGAAGGAATGCCTGGGCATGAGAAAAATTGCATCACGATGGGTTCTGCATGATTTGATGGAAATGCAGAAATGGCTACGATATGATGCTGCTTGTAACCACTTGGAGCACTATGAGCGCGAAGGAGAGTACAGGCTGTCATATTTTTATAAATTCAAGTAATTCTTCTGCTTGGGCAGGTGAGAAAGCAAAATTATACTTTCGTTCTATTTTTCATCAATCCAGGCGTGCAATATTGAGTTGAGTTGTGTAATTACCTGTCATAATCTGAAGTGCCACATCCTCATCCTTCAGGCAACTGTCAAATCCATAAATCTTATAAAGACAAAAACAACACCATCTAGTGTGATCCCTGCGGATCAAAACATGTAAGGGTGCTGAGTTTTCAAGTGATAAAACTTAAATAGTCACACTAGACGGTGTTGTTTTTGTCTTTGTAATTGTGTGATGGACCAGAATGAAACAAATCAAATTCATAAATCTTATGATTTTAGAGGCACACAGAGCAGCAAATGTTTACAGCAGTGTAAAGACCCCCCTGCAATAAACTCATTAATATTTAATCATTCCTGCAACACTGAAACATATTCATCAAGTTGCTCAGTAAAACACTGTTTAATGAATAATTATGTTTCAGCTTTGTTTTATCCTCAGGTGTTTAAAAATATTTTTTACAGCAGGTTCTTCAGTTTATCAGAATTTAGTAGCAGGTTCTAGTGGACTGGCACAAACACACTGGATGAAACCACTGCTAGTAACATGAAAATGGTGTATGTCTATTAACCAGACCAATCAGAATGAGGAATCTTCGTGCGAACCACATAGGTCAGATCTATCCAGAGTGAAAGCACAGCATGAGTATGGGTGGTGAGTTTGGAAGAATGTGGGATAAAGTGGCCGCAGCTTAAAGTAAGATTGTGCTCAACATTTAATTAAAGGGACTGAAGGAAATCATAAAAATCCTCAGTCAGCATAGCCAATCTTGTGGGTGAGATATGAACTGGAGATATCTTCAATGTGAAACAGTAATCCTAGCAAACCAAATATCATAATGCAAGTGTTAAAATTCTCATAACAGTGAACGTTTAGATGTGATTTTTGCAGGTACAATATGTTGCAACCCAGAAGATCACAATTTAGATGTTCAGTTGATGCACAGGCACTTTGTGCAAAGATAAGGGAGTAAATGTGTTCTGATTACATTAGCATAAACAGATTTTATTCTTCAAAATGTAAATAGTAATATGTACATTTTAACAAGGGCATATAATTAAAAAGATTATCAGAAATTTACAAAACTGAACTGTTCTTACTTAATTTAACATTAATGTCTGAAAATGTAGTTAGTGTTTTGCCCTTTTTCTAAGAGTCTGTCCTCTACTTCGTGAAGGCTGTGAGGATTTCTTTGTATTTCTTCTTCTTCTAACAGGTGTTCCTCTGATCTTAAAGTCTTCCAATAGATCTTCAGAATTAGGTTCAAAATCTGGATCATCAAGCTGTGAATTCAGCCGTTTGGATATTCGTTTTGTTGCTAATGTTTCATCTGTCTCGGAGGCAGTATTTTGCAGATTGCTTTCAAAGGTAGTCTCTGTAAGCAGAAATTACACAACATTTATCTATGCCTGAATTAGTTACTTTATTTCTAAAACAAAGAGCTAGTGAGTAGAGGATTATTATCGCATAATTGGCACAACATTGTCATCTGCCTGCTCAGTCAGTATACTGACCAGCTGCAGGCTACAAGACAAGAGGTTTGATTCCCAGCTCTGGGATACACCTAGTCTTCTATCCAGTGGGTAACATAGGACCCTTTCTTTGGAAGTGAACCACTCACCATCTAGTGCCAAGGTTAAGAATGTATGGAGCTATACCACCAATCTGTATGTCATCATGACAGTACTTAATTAAGCAGAGACACTTCACCTTTACTTCTTACAATCTGGACACTAATCCAAGAAAATTACTAAGAATTTTTCTGTATTATTATTTTTCTTTCATTTAAGAACTTCCTGACAAAAATAAAAAAGCAGCATTAGTCACAGCAGCTGATATAGAGTAACATAGACTTTTAACCCAGTGACTCAGTACTATTAAGCAGCTCTATAAGCACAAATTTTTGGTACATGTGGGCTGTCTTCAATTACTGAAACTATAAGTCCAGAGACCCTACAGACATACTCTATGGTCTACTCAATGCCAAACAGAACAGTCACTGGGCTTGCATGTTTTGTGGGGTTGAGGGGAGTTGGGTCGATGTAATGTCACAAACAAAAGTGACTACCCTCTTGTTTTGTGTGCTCTTTTGTGAGAAAATATTAAGTAGTTGTTTCATGTCACTTATATTAAGTCAGTATATTGAAGACAAAGGTCATGCAGTAGCATAGTTGGTTGAGGCACTATGCTACTAGCCAGAAGGTCGTAGGTTTGAGTTCCGTTGAGGTGGATTTTTTTTTTTTTCAATTGACCTAATCCTTCCAGCTGCACTATGGCCCTGGGGTTGACTCAGCCTCTAACAGGAATGATTACCAGGAATATTCCTGGGGGGTAAAGGTCTGCCGGCGTGTAAGGCTCTCAACCTTACCGCTGTGGGTGTCAATGTTGCTCGGACAACCACATGAATCTGTAACAATAATGTTCACTGCACTTAGAGTGGGGAGCTTGCCTTAAGGGTACTGGCAGTGACTCCTTCCGTAGCGGTCAGCTCGGCCCGGTGGCAACGATAAAGAGTTTGCTGGCCCTGAAAGGGACCGTTTGTTCAACTGGTCTTCTTTATGGCAGTTCGGCAGGTCTGGCTGGCCAGTGATGTGGCAGTGCATGCGCTGGTAGGATCAGCAGCCTGTGGCGCGTGTGCTGGCAGAGTCTGTTGTCTTTGTGCTGTTACTGGAGAGTTACAGCAGCAGCTGCTTCATGATGTCAATGTAGCTATGATGGCTGTGATCGGTGGACTGAAGAAGTGCAGTGCACTTTTATACCATTACCGCTGGACAGAGCTAGCAGTGCAGCTGCAATTGTGAGCTCTGATTGGCCAGTGCCTGTGTTGATCTCCAGAGGGCCGGACAGCAAGTGCTGTATAAATATGGTCTCGGTTTCTTACAAGGTAGAAGTTTTATGTTGTCTCTTAGACTGGTGAAGGTGCATATTAGAATGTGGGAGGTTCCCACATCGCCATCTGTGAGGCAATTGTCTAGAAAATGTGGGAGCTTCAACATCTCACAATCCTATGAGCCTCCATGGCCTGTTAAGGGGATACCTTTACTTTTACATTATTTTATTGAAGACAATCCTAATTATGAAAATTTATTTTGTGCAACATTACATTACCTTGCATTTGGCAGAATGATAATGAAATTGTGAATAAGTGAAGACTGTGAAGGAAGATGTAACAGTCTGTTTCACAGTAGTACTCCATACCTTATATGGAATTCAAATTCTAAAATGAATAAGTATTTATTCACTATGCTACAAGCTGGAAGGTCATGGGTTTCATTCCTGATGAGGTCACTGGATTTTTCAGTTGATCTAACCCTTCCAGCCACATTATGGCATTGGGGTCGACTCAGAGTCTAACAAAAATGAGTACCAGGAATGTTTTGGGGTTAAAGGGTGGCCAGTGCATAAGGAAAACAACCTCACTGCCATCTGTGAGCCGAATGTCCAGAAAATGTGGTGGCCTTGGCATCTCAAAACCCTATGGGCCTCCACAGCCTCTTACAGGGATAGCTTTACCTTTTATAAGTATCTACTGAACTAACTTACTGGTCTAAAGAATACAAAACATAAAATTAATGTGATGAATACAGGAAAACTGCCATTTAAAATTTATGGGACTCAAATTCATATGTGAATGTGCATGATCTGTTAATAGGTTTCAAATTAACTTCATCAAAAGCACTGAATGAAATTGTGTGTAAACCAGAAAAGGAGGAAATTTAAGTGCCAAGGAATTCACCTGGAATGACTGAGAAAAATCATATAACTTCAGCCAGAACACTCAGTTGTTTGACCAAGATTAGAACTAAGTACCTCCTAATATGCATACGATGGGGTACCCAAAAGAAACCAAACTAATTTTTTTGTGGGCAGAGCTTTTGTAGTACCGCGTTTTGCCGCTATGAGCGCATAGAGCTAACATTCCTGAGTCGATAAGCCGACTACCGTTGCTTCAGAAGGTAAGGATTAGTTTCGGCAGAGTTTATAGTGACAACTGTTTTGTGTGATCGTCGTTTTTACAATGGCTGATTTTCGTGAACAGCGTGCGGCGGTGAAATTCTGCCTTTTGCTCGGGAAAAGTGGAACAGAAACTCTTGAAATGTTAAAAACGGCGTACAAGGACGATGCTATGGGGAAAACTCAAGTGTTTGAGTGGTTTTCCCGTTTCAAAAATGGTGAAATGTCAATTGATGACAAACCTCGTTCTGGTCGTCCTTCCACGGCCCGAACACATGAAAATGTTGAAAAAATTCGTGAAATCATCAAGGAAGATCGACGACGGACCATTGAAGAAATTGTGGAGCTGTCGGGAGTGACTTGGAGCTCAGTTCAGCGAATTTTGACAGAAGATCTGGGAATGAAAAGGGTGGCTGCGAAATTCGTGCCACGACTGCTGACTGCTGAACAAAAACAAGGTCACGTGGAAGCATGCTGTGCTTTGAAAGAAGAGTCCCGAAATGATCAAAACTTTTTTTTTGTTTCCTCGAATGAAAAGAGACATGAAAGGAAAGCGTTTTGCTGATGTTGCTGAGGTGAAGGAAAAAACGACGGAGGCGCTGTCAAGCATCTCAAAAGATGAATTTAGACAATGTTTTGAAAAATGGAATAAAAGACTAGACAAGTGTATTAGTGTAAGTGGAGAGTACTTTGAAGGGGATTGAAGGTTTGTGCTTAAAATTTGAATAAATAAGTTTAAAAAAAATAAGTTCGGTTTCTTTTGGGTACCCCCTCGTATATATAGGTAGAGAGATAGATATGTATAAAACTACACGGGTTTCTACTTGTCTGTTATATGGCACCTTCCCATTACGTTACCTGTCTTTAAAGAGAAAATAAAAACTGAAGCTTCCCATCCATGACACTTAAGTTTTGCTACTAATATACTTATTGCTAAAAATATATATTCATACAATATTAGCATAAGTAATTCAAGATGCAAAGTTTGTCAGAGAAGATAATATGGTAATTTTGGATTATCAATGCTTTCTTTAATGATTTAAGCTTCCTCTGCTATTCATTAGCAAACATAATCAAGAGCGCATTATAAATCATGTTGATGTACAATGTGTCAGCTGGATGTGTGTTAGACCATCAGAATTTGGACATCACATAATTATTTCCTTCTACTTTTAAAAATAAATTTAAATTAAAGACAATAATTTATTATATTTAATATATTTTATAATACAAAATCATGTCAGACTAATATTATAGTGCTCTATGCAATTGGTGGAACAGTTTTATTCATATACCTGTGTGCCTTCAATGCAGGACAGATGTTCCAACACTGACATTTGTTACCTTGTATTTGTTCTGCTAGAAGACTGAAGCTTTGGCTGCTACCTGCATCACGCTCGTCATCCCTCTCAACTTCCTGTGACTGTTTTACTGAAGAACTATACTTCTTGCTGCACGGCATGGACAAACTCTTCTCAAACATGTCTGGAGTTAAATTCTGGGATGGTTCTCTTTCATAACGTGTCTTCTCAATTTCCTTTCTTGAACAATCAGTGACTGTATGTCTGCCTAGAACTGGGGACAGAGTATCATCCGTGTCACCTTCATAATTCACATCAAATGTTGTCTCACTGATATTGTCATTATGGTTCACCTTATCACCAAGATTACTGATCATACTAGTCACATTTTTTGATGACATACTGCTAGAATGATCATTCAGGTCATATTCATTCTTTATGGCATCACTGTCTTCTTCAGCACTACAGTTCTTCATGATGACCCTCAGCCCAACTACATTTTGCACACCTGCTTCTTTGACGGTGTCTTCAAAATCATTTTCCACATCATTTATAACGAAATTTTGCTTAACTGAAGTTTTCTTTTCTGCTTCTCGTTCTCGAATAGACTGAATCAGTTTTTCAAAACTGGTTTTATTCTGGTGTACTGAAAGTAAATGTAGATGGATAAGTAGCTTTGAAGTTTCTATGATTCATATGCTACAAGCTAAAAATAAATAACTTTCTTGTGTGGAACTATAACCCTTTTAATATCACCCTAAATGCATAGCTTGGCTATGTCACCCCAAGCACATGTTCAGGCAATGCACAGCGTTTAATTTAACGATTCCTTACAATTTTTTTTTAAATGGTTGAATTGTTAAACCACAATTATGTTGAGACAGTGTCCATTGTCTGTGCTGTATTTAATATATGTGATTTTTCAGGCACTGTCTCTATTCTGATCTTTAGACATCTGTCATCAAGCCAACATATTTCTCATTGTTTTCATTTTTACTTTCTCATATACAAAGTGTACATGAGAAAGCAGTGTGATAGTAAAAAAAAAAAAAAAAAATCCTCAGATTCCATTGCAGTAACACACATACAGCATCCTGAAATACCGTATTTACGCATGTATAGGCCGCAGCACAATTTTCAGAGAGAAATTATGGAAAAAATAATTTTCTTGGAATATTATTTCAGGAGTATTACACCCTGTATTACTAATTATGAATATAATTTTTTTTAAATGAAGTGTGATTTCGAATATAAGCCGCACCCCAGTTTTCCTCTTGAATTTTTGGCAAAAAAATGTGTGGCCTATACATGCGTAAATACGGTAATAAAACATGGTATTCAGAAAGTACTTTGATGGTACAAAAATTATCTTGAGATTAGGATGAATTTACAATTTTTCAGCCCTACCGAATGCGGAGCGGTGGTTTCTAGAATTCTGTGTGTTCACTCCTCTAGCACCTAAATGGTTCAGCAGATTTTATTCACATTCAGTATTCAAAAGTCACGCACCACATGTCAGAGTCTGGTGAATATGAACATTCCAACTTAAAAAATAACAGCCATTCAGATGGGCCAGAAACAAAATAAGAATGTTCTCACGAAGCGGCTCTTACAGTTTTGATTACATTTCAGAAATTTATGGAGGCCACTGCTCTAAGTAAAACTGCATAAGTGATATCTTCAATAAAATAACTTATTTGCATTAGGATCCCAGATGATTATGCAGTGCATACATGTATGACCAACAGTGGTTTACTGAACAATAGTTAACTTTGAATAATGCCGTCTTCTGGGATGTGGCACCATGTAGATCTTGTGTGAACCGAGTAGCGTCTTGAGTCATTGAATGTGTCGATTAGTAGCCTCCCCATAGAGCAACACTATGTAGGATTTGAGGTTTTCACAGCGGTGACTATGAAAAATGTCATCTTCTGGGATATGGCACCATGTAGATCTTGTATGAAAACCGTAAATCCTACAATAGTTAACTTTGTTTCCAAGGGAGCATAATCAAGGTGAGCAATATGCATGAAAAGGTATTATGTAATGTCTCCACTGATTTTTTTATATAAGTGGCATCAGCCAGGACCAGTCTCAGAACCTTCTATATAATTAATTTATGTGATATCCACTAGATTGCTATAGTAACAACCAAGCACCTAATGACATCACCAATCTAGTATGTTGTGTAACAAGGACAGCAATAGCTCAGTCAACAGTGACAGGCTATGGGCAGAATAACCAGGATTTTATATTTGACAAGAGCATGGAGCTTTCTCCACACCACCACATCTAGAACTTCTCTGGAGCCTACCTGGTCTCCTGTGTAATGGGTAGAGGAGGCCCTTCCCTGGGATTAAGGTAGCGAAGATATGAAGCTAACCACTCACTTTCATCTAGTGTAAGAATGCGTGAATTTTTACCTCCATTGTCCAATGGGTAGTTACAGGGTGGTACTTAAATAAACACAAGGATAACTTTACTTTTTTATAAAATATATAACAGACATTGCACAATGTCCATCAGAATTCTGTGTAATTTAATTTAATCCCTATTCAAGGAATGCATGTTGAATATCCACCATATACAATTATAACCAGGATATATTGTTCTTTAAACTGCTACCTTATTCTTACAGCCCTCTTTGTAAGTATTCCCTGTAAATAAAAATAAACCAAAAGTAGTCCATTTATTTCCATCATGATGTAATGGTTCTGTCAGATTACAGCACTGAACTGGCAAATGAGAGACTTAGTGTCAGACACAGTAACAAGTGAAGAGCAAACGTAACAACTACAGCTCATGGCAGAAGACAAGAAAACCACACTTACTGTACTGTTGCTGAGCCTGTTCGATCAATTTAGGATCCATTTTTCTGTCTATTTTCAGCTTCTGAAAGTGAAAAATAAAGATCAGCAAGGTGTACCTAAGCACCAAACATGGAGCTCCACAACGATCGCTTTAAGACCAAGGAAAGAACATCCAGAGTCAATTGGATAGAAAGCTAGGTGAGCCCTAGAACTATTATGGATATGACAAAAAAATCAAAACATTACCACTAGAAATCAGAACTTAATGACTGACTTGGTAACCCCCTGACTCTGATAACAGAGCTAACATGGCTCCTACAATAATGCAGTATGTCTTTTCCGAACATTTTGAAATGTTACATTTCACCAATATAAAGTTTCAAAATATTATGAGGACCCAAAAATAATGCTCCCTATTTTCTGTTCTTAACATATATCACAGACAATACATATATACTATACCTAATGGACCACATAAATCCGTCACTTCTTTTCAGACTTAATCAGCATACAGCAGCATGTAATGCCACTTTCAAGTGATGATGTGACAACAAAATGCTGTACAGTCAACTGAAAGCCCATTCAAGGAATAATTCCACATATGGAGGGAGTGTTCTGCAATAATGGAATGCAGCCCCTTCTCAGGTAATCATATCACAGCTGAGAGCAGTTAATTAATGACAAACATCAGACAAACCACTCCTTTCAGCTGACCTTCAACAGCAACTACTTGATAGTTAGGCCACAGGTTACACAGTCCAACAAATCTTAATTATTTACATTTTCCTCATAAGTGGGCGTTTCTCATACATTTTTGTTTGTGGAATTCAAAAGTGAAATAAAATGTTTCCATCATTCACCTTTTCTTTCTTCTCCCCACCCCCTGGCCCCCAAGAATTAAATTCAGATTGTAATTTCAAAATAAAAATTGTACTGGACATTTCAGGGTGCTTTCTGACTATGTGTAATAATACAAATGCCGTCGTGAATGCAACAATTTACTTTGTTATAGATCTTTGTCTTTTCTTCCTCTACAGTACATGTTTCTGCCGTAATTGGCCATTATCAGGTGTATTTTTCACTACGTAGCTGTCACACTGCACACAGTCCAAAATCTAAAACTTCAGCCTGTCAGTTTTGTTTTAAAATCTCGCCAACACACGCTCGCCAATTTGATTTTAGAATTCCAGTTTAAAATTTAAAATTTCTAAAATTTAAAGTTCAAAACTGACAGGCTGATGTTTTAGATTTTGGACTGTGTGCAGTGTGACAGCTACGTAGTGAAAAATACACCTGATGATGGCCAATTACAGCTGAAACATGTTGTGTAGAGGAGGAAAAGACAAAGATCTACAACCAAATAAATTGTTACGTTCACGACGGCATTTGTATCATCACATATAGAAGTGTAGAGTGCAACAGGATGCTTAAATATAATATAGGGCTTTCTTGAGTTAAATTGGGTAAATATCCTTTGGCACATTAACTTCAATTAGTTACTTTGGAGAAAGTCCTTTAAATTTTGACTCTTCAAATGATAACATTGATCACCCTCGCTCATGTCAATATTGAGTAGCCTGTTTTTAATAACTTCCTCCATGGCCTATGTAAGACAAATTGTGGTACTGTAAAGCATAATTAGTCAGCTTCCCATTACAAAATCTTCTTATTTGATCCAGCATGCTGTCCATTGTAAACATTTATTCAAATAGTAGAGTGCTACTGTGTCTCAAGCTGCTTCTGGTCAAGGTTTTGTTGGTCTGCTTCCCACCAGATATTCTTTGGGAAGTTGACCACTTCTATTTTTTTTAGAACGGCTGGTAATACGTGGTTAAATCCAAAAGTTCCCAAAATATATTAATAAAAACTATTACATCTTACTTAGATCTTATTCTGCACCATCACCTTCAAAGTGGTCCCCTTGGAAGCGGATACACCGATCCCAGTGTTTCTGCCACTTTTCAAATGCATCCTGGAAGTCTTTCTTTGTTAGGGCGTTTAGTACCGTCTGCGTTTCCACTTGAATTTCCTCAGCTGTATCAAATCTTCGCCCCTTCAACTTGATTTTCATCTTGGGGGAAGAGAAAGAAGTTGCATGGAGCTAAGTCTGGTGAATACGGTGGGTGGGGAATAACTGCCATTTTGTTTTTAGCCAAAATTCCTGCACAATGTAAGCTGTATGCGGTCGTGCGTTGTCATGGTGGAGTACCCAGTCGTTCGTGCGCCACTTCTCTGGACGTTTTCTCGTCATGTTCTCCCTCAAACGCCTTAGAACATAGCGATAGAACTCTTTATTGACTGTCTGACCAGGAGAGACGAACTCCTTATGAACAATCCCGTCAGTATCAAAAAAACAGATCAACATGGACTTAATGTTGCTCTTGACTTGTCGAGCTTTTTTTGGCCGAGGTGAAGAAGGGCTCTTCCATTGCGACAATTGCTGCTTACTTTCAGGGTCGTAGCCATAAACCCAACTTTCATCACCAGTGACAACCTTCAAAAGAAAGGTTGGATCCTCTTGAAGCTGCTGTTGAAGTTCCCTGCAGACTTCCAAGCGATGCTGCTTCTGTTCATTTTGCAGCAGTCGTGGCACAAACTTCGCCGCAATCCTCCTCATGTTCAGTTCCTCTGACAAAATTTGTTGACATGTACCATAACTTAGTCCCAAGGTGGTACAGAGGTCTTAGATGGTCAGTCTACGATCTTGCAGAATCAGATCCCTAACTTTTGCGACATTTTCTGGTGTTTTGCCCATTGATGGCCGTCCCGAACGATCGTCATCATCAGTCGATGTTCGGCCATTTTTAAAACGCTTATACCAGTTGTAAGTTTGTGTCTGGCCTAAACTGTTTTCACCAAAAGCTTGCTTCAACATTTGGTGCGTTTCTGCAGCGGTTTTCCCAAGTTTGAAACAAAACTTTATACAGACATGCTGCTCTCTCAGGTCAGCCAACGCAAAACCNCACGTATGTTATGAACCCACAGGCAGACAACTTCGTAAGACAGTGTTGCTCATTGTTGGAGTGGTCAGTGGCAGATTTAGTTCAGTTTAAATGTTACATTAGTTATGCACTGATGTGTACACCAGTCAACATAGAAACACTGTTACTGATCATGAATAGATTAAGTTATCAGTAGTGGTTCTTACCCTTAAATTAAGTGGTTAGTGTTGGATTACACCCATATTATCTTTTGAACCCACAGACAGCACGTAAACATTACAAGCCTGCCGCATTGTCTTTGTGTTCATATATGTGGTTTTTGTCAGTCCTTACAGGCAAATATATGAATAGTACGAAGTTTTTGTATATTCTAAACTTCGCGGAAATAAAAATCTGCCTTGTAAGAATTAAACAATGACACATCTCTGAAGCATACAAAGTATTTTACATTACACATTGAGGATTTTCATAAGTATGTTATCTAAATGATCATTCTTCAATAAGTAAAATCACTATTTTGTTCAAGGAAAAAGTCATGTTCAGGCAATATATTCCTGAAAACACAAACATTGTGGAATAAAACTTGATACCATGTGAAAAGGCAGTTTACAATTTTGATAGGTACTGAATGTTGTGGTCAGGAGGGTAATAGTCCTGTACTGTATTCAGAAATTCTCTGCTTCAAATCTGGGCCTGAAGACCAGCTACCTCAACTGATTATTTTCATGATTTTCCTCAGTCTCTCAAGGCAAATACCAGAATAGTATAGCAAGTCAGGCCATGGCTGCTTACTGTATATTATGTCATATTTCGAGTTGTGGAATGGTAAAATGATTCAAAGTGTATCCATACTGTCACCAGTGTGTCACAAGAATTTATTGTGAGCTTCTATCTTTGTGTTTGTTACTATACATTATTCCCCAAAAGTTCCTTGAATGAATGACACATGCACAGTGATCTGAACATAGCATATGTGTCATAAGTCTGGTTATTTTATGAGGCAACATCTAGTAACATACGCGTGTAAAAGGCAAGAAAATGGACCGCAAACCAAACATGCATATTTAAAATGTTTTTTTCCCCCACTTATTTCACTACAGAATAACATGTACCTAATATATCTTAAATTCAGTGGTAGTTTGTTAACAAATTTCTGCATACAACAAATAATGGTGGAATATAATTTATTTTCACAAGCTTTTGCATGAAGTAAGATTTGTGTTAGTGAAGTCTTACATAATGTAGGGAGAATTCATGTATATAAAACAGAATTTATGGTAAAAGTATTGAAGGGTGAAAGAAAAGTTGTCTCTGTGCTTAACTAATTAAGCATCACACCATGAAGAGCGGAAGTAGAGGTCCATCATTCTTGATCTCAGCACTAGATGGAGGTAAGAAAAATAACAGCAAAGTATAAAAGACCTAAACTCACATTTGAAGTGTTGGCTGCCATGCAAACTTTCTTTTCTTCTTGCTCCTCCCTCTCAATCTGCTTAATTATATCAGCAGTTGACCTTGGATTTAAGGTGTCACTGTCTGAATTGTATAGTAAAGTGAATCTACAACACAAAACTTAAAACATTTAAAGTACTTCCCAAAAATATCATGACAGAACTGAATATAAAGAATGACCTCTGATAAGTCATGAAAATTTAGCTGAATCATTATACAGTACTTTTCACACTACTGTATTGACAACAATTATTATGTATGTTCACTTTCAAATACAACTTGATGTTGTTGTTTTTGCTTTTCACCTTACATGCTTCATGTTTTTGTCACACTTCTTTAGAGCCAATTTCATTAAATTTTTCTAACCTTAAGTTTTCTCACTGTTTCAGATATTTTGTAAAGATGTTCTTATTCATTGCTTTTTTTACATTTTCTTAAAAATTTTCAAAAATTCTAATGTAACGGCTGCTTTAATGACATTTATGTTTCATCAGTATTTTAAGTAATATTTCAATGACCAAAAACAATTAATAAATATATCTTCAGAAGATCTTTTAAAAAAGTAGATACCATAGGTCAGGAAGTGTCAGACCTATGAAGATATCTCAAATATGGGCAAAATATGTGGTGCGAAAACAAAAATAATATTTTTAATATAAAAAATATTACATTGCAATGAATATAGATGTTAAACTTCAGACACTCAAAAAACATCCTTCTTGGTGAAAGCAATCTGTTTGAAATAGAATTCACTGTGACAACACAACGGTAGGTGCATGCTGAGGGTACTAAAATTGATTGTGCTTAACTTTCTATGATCTGTGTCACTCATAAGGCATTATAAAATGACAAAGTTACCTCCTCCCTTTCAGCACATCATAAAGGTGCACAGGTGGATTTGTTGCTTATTTAATGACACTGTACCAACTGCTGGAATTAAATTAGATGATTATGCGCAGCAAATGTTGAAGAAAGTGGTTTTTGTCTATTTAAAGGTACTATCCCACAGTTTCTCTGAAAGTGCTGAGGGAACGCACAAAAATACTCAGTTGGGATATAATGTAAACCAGCTACATTCACAATGCATCATTATAACAAATTTCTGTAAAAATATAACATTTTATGTCAAAGGTTAGTATCTAATCTCAGCACATACTGTTTACTTATGGTCTATGTATATTTCTGTTACCTAATCTGTATCTAAGATATCAGCTATATATTTTCTGTATCCCTGTTGCAATGATCTGTATATGAGGGCTATTTGGAAAGTAAACTCCGTTTATTTTAGGCAACTAATGTGGGTGTGGGGAGAACTTGTGCAGGTGAGGTAGTGTCACATGACTCATTGCCTTGTGAACTATCATATAATTGATCACCTAATGTTTGTTCTTGTCTCTACAGAGTCAGTCATGGTGTGTCCTGCAACTGACAATCCCACAAGCTGTAAAATTTGCACTGTTATCTGCTTTCTTTGTGCTAAAACATGAATGCTGTGGAAATACATCATGAATTTGCATAACATGGGTTCTGAAAATGCTTACAAGTGTGCATAAAACACAGAGAATGGCTTTAGCGTTGACTGTTTCTTAAGCAATACCACAAAGATGGTGATGAATTTCTCAGTTACATCATACTAGTAACTGGTAATGTAATATGGGTTTCATTTGTGACTGCTGAAACCAAGGAGCAGTCAAAGCAGTGGATGCACACACATTCACCAAAAAGCCCAGAATATTTAAACAAATGTCTGCCTGCCAGAAAGCTGATGACAGCTGTTTTATGGGACATGAAAGGAGTGCTGATGGTGGAATTCATGCAACAAGGGACAACAAAAATGTCAGAAGTGTATTTCAAAGCACTAGAAAAAAATTGTGCAGGACCATTCAGAATAAAAGGCATGGAATGCTGACATCCAGTGTAATGCTCCTTCATGACAATGCATGTGTTCCCATAAAGCTGCCTGCACTCAAAGCACTACTGGAGCGTTTCACTGGAGTTGTCTGACCATCCTCTTTACAGCCCTGATCTTGCTCTAAGCAACCACCACCTTCTTACATATCTAAAGAGCTGGTTGAGATCACAGCGCTTCAACTGTAATGAGTAGTTGATGGAAGGTGTCAAAACGTGGCTGACCTCATAGGCAGCAGATGTATTTGACACGGGCATACAAAAACTTATTTCCTGATATGACAAGTGCCTCAATTCTGGCGGTAACTATGTTGAGAAATAGCTTAAGTATGTACATATTTTTCGTATATAATTTTTTTTTCTCATTGCTGGTTTGGTAACAGCTCGCCAGAGGTCACTTTCTGAAAAGCCCTTGTATATGGGAACACCTCTGTACATAATGCACAGCATGCTTTTCTTTAATGTTGAAGCTGTCTCATCCATATCAGTAGCAGGATTAATTTTATTCTCCCATTACAGCTAATCTTCCATATGGCCCTTTCACTCTTGCCAAATCGAAATCTCATATGCAGTGTTTTGTATATGTTCACTATATACAGATGATGCTGATGTACTGCTGCTGTTCTGTGATGTTTTGTATGCCACAAGAGGCCTAGCACAGCAGTTTCTAACCTATAGAAATTCTAACATTTTCCCATTTGACTCTAATGACATTAAACATATTACATTGTGTCAACATAAAGTACATGAACTATGCTTTACCACGGCTCGGAAAGCATTAAATTTTGGCATGATTATGAGATGTCATATTTTACTCAGAACTGTCCTCCAACATCACCCTCAAAATAAGTTTTTTTGCATAGAGATCTGACAAAGGCAGAACAATAAGAAGTTGAAAGTTCAACTGTGGTCTAAAATCCTCTTCTCCTGCATTACATTCATTACTTACCTCTGGTGTCGGATGATAAGAGCTTTACGGTCACCATGCGTGCTTAAGCCATGTTGTCTTAGGATCTTTCTCAATTCTCTGTCTTGAAGTAAAGAATATACCAGTTTTGGTAAAGGCTTTCTCTTCTGTACTTTTTTTGGAGAACTGTAAAATGGCAGTGCAAATCACAGTTTTTATTTAACCAAAGAAATGGATGTATACATACTGTCATTAGGTCATGGAGATTCTTCACATGAAAAGGAAAGCAGATATGTGAAAACTTTTGGACACTGCCTATTGCTTAAGGTATATCCGATACACAGTATCTTTCCATTGGGTGACTGATCACTGACATAGCTCTCATTGTTTAGTTAGTGATTTGGTCTAGTAATCTCACACCCGGTTAACATGTAAAGGACTGAATGTTCAATCCCAACCATTGTGATTAATATAAAAAATAAGGTTGTGGGAGCTGCCCATTTGCAGGCAAGTATGACAGCGCAAGTATCATTGCTTACTCGCTGTTGCTAAGCATTGATACTTGAGCTGTCATACTTGCTTGAATGTGGGCAGCTCCCACAAGGTCAGTAAAAAATCTGCCAGTGTCAACACATCTAATTACCTGAAAAAACATAAAACTTTAGTATATTGTGACATGTTGCGCAAGGGAGAACCCCCCCCCGGCCAGCAGTGACGCGGCGGGTGGGTCGGCACTCCCCTCCCCCTCCTCCGCACGGTGACGCAACAGGATTGTTACAGTAGTAACAGCGGTTACTACCGCTAGCGTTGCTAGCAACACAGCGCCAGGCAACAAGGGTGCCTATTACGTGGCCGTATTGTCCGATCAAGGCTACATAAGGAGCAGCGAAGGCTATTCACAGTTAGTTGTACTGTGACAGTCAGCCAGTCAGTGCATTACCAACGAGTTCTCAGTTCGCAAGTTACGAGCTACAGACGCGTGTGCGATAACCAGCGATAACCAGTTATATCTGGAGTGTGTAATTCAGGGAGACTTGTATAGCTCCCGCGTTATTAATACGTGAAGACTCTTGAAGATAGTGTTAAGAGATTTTGTTGTAGGGTTTGTAAAGTGTGGAAACCCGTAATATTGTGATAATTAAGTGTAGCCGTTATTTGAAGATTGTTAAATAAACCAATTAACCATCTCTACGGCGTCTTCTGTAATGAAACACGTTACAATATCAAACATACCTCAGACATTGGACACTGTTTAACAGTCACACAATAATGAATCACTTGTATACTGTGCAATGTTTTTAGAGTATATTAACTTATGAGGTAGAATGCTGAGTACTAAATCAGAAAGAGCTCAACTGACAATATCAGAAACAAATTATGGAATGCCATGTTAGGACTAGAATGGTGAAACAAGACATAGAATGAAACAGAGGCTATGAACCATCACTGCGGTACGGATACACAGAAAGAGGAGAACACAGATTAACAGAACATAATTCACTGGAAACCAACTGGAGCAGGGGGCCAAAAACATGGTATGCCGGTTACAGGGAATTAATCCATGAAATGACTGAAGGGACTGGAATAATTGTCAGTTATGAAGCATGAAGTGTAGAGCCTATGAGTAAAAAAAAGAAAAAAAAAAAAAACCAAACCATGCAAAATTTTTGAGACGCAATGATGATCTGTTCTTAAAGCATGCGCAAGTGCTTACCTATGTTGGTCGGACTGCTCTGCTCTTTGCAAACATGCATCTAAATGTACATTGATATTCTTTTCTGGAATGTCAATGCTACATACAGGACATGGGACTAAATTGTCAGTAGTATTGTGTTTCCTCCTTGAACTGAATATTGATGGAATCGACACATCACCTTCAGAAACCATTCTTTTATGATCTGGTGACGGATATGGTTGCTTTACAGATGCCGCATCTGGCAACGTTACATCACCTAGTTCTGCTTTAGTCATTGTTATGTTCTGTGACTCAGATACGTAAGATGATGTAGTTGGTGTATCCGTAGATTCAGACATCTTCCCACAGGCTGCCCTAGTATCTTTCTGGTTTGAAGATACATCATGAATAATTCCTTCACTAATAACATCATTTTGTCCTCTGAGATCTGATAACAAATTTGAATTTTGAAGAAAATCAGGTACTGTATTTGCTTTATTCTGGGGTGAAAATTTCCCATAGTTTTGCATAAATGATTTAATTTCATCTGATAGTATAATAAAAACTTCAATTATATCATCTAGAATTCTGTTGTTACGCAGCTGATATTCAAATGCCTCCGCAAAACATGCTGGGCACTGTGATTTATACATCAGTGATTTGCGAATGCATAGTGAACAATCTGAAAATAAGATAAACAATGTTAGAACTAATGAATTAACTCTATTACCTATCCTGAAAATGTACAGATTGTCCTCTTAATTTCTTCAACAGTACAACTGTACTGAACATGAAGTACAGTGAATTTGAATAAAGTTGTAAAAACTGTTGCTTCTATCAGATCTGTAAAGAATTCACTAAATATCCCAATGGAATCTGACTTGCAAAAGTATTCTATTTAAAAACATAGCTGGGTAACTTCATTTGTACAACTGCATACATCTGCTGCTGAATGGAATAATACCAAAACAGTATCCATGGAAAAGAGACATAAAGCATCACTGTACCGGTAAAGAATACACCAATCTGCAATGTACAGAGTGCCTTTTTAATGAACTTGATGCGTTCACAGTTCTGTGCTTGACTGTGACTGATGCATGGCCGGATGCAAAGCGCATGCAAATTATGCCGATGACTCGGCATGCTGATAACATTTGGAGTGAAGGGAGGTTTTTACCTTGCTTCACAGATCACAGGAGGTGTTCAAAAGGCTGTTCCTCTACACATAAATATCTTTTGCAATTAACTGTTTCATTAAAAACATGTACAACAATCCTTCTTGCACTTAACAGCACACCACACACCAACTTTCACTGGATGGCTTCACCCATTGTGTTGCTCTTCTTGCACTAGGCTTTAATACTCCAATCTCTTGAGCTAGACATTTCAGTGACTTTCTAGGTGTATGTTCAAGTCTGGCCCCTATGTCATCTAACTTGTCATTAGGTACTCGGCACTTATGATTTTTGTTTCTTGTCAATTAAGGGTCCCATTGTTCTAAGTTTATTCAACAAATTATGAATTGTTTGTCTGCTGGGAACTCTTTCTTCATGAAATTTATGTCAAAATTTTCACTGACACTTCCTGCGAGATCTGTATTATCACGCAGGTGTCAGAAATATGTGTTGCTCTAAAATATAGCAAACCATGTCATGCCACATTGCTGACTGATTGTTAACTGGGAAGAAATGGCTCATGGCACTGATAACTGTTGCCTACTGCTGAAAAATCATAAACCAACTCCCACACATCAACTGCACTGCCTGTCATGTAACATAACACCGTGTAGAAGTCCACAAGTTAAATTATTTTCCTTCCTTCCAAACGTTATAGGACGTGAAGCATGCTGAGTAAATGGCAAAATTTGTGTGCACTTCACAGCTGGCAATAAAACGATAGTGGTGAAATGCAGAGCTGTGAACTCATCAACAGCTTTAAAAATTTCGCTGTACTCTGCCATTGGCATTTACATCTCTGTTATAACCTGACAGGTAATTAATGCTCTGTTCTGTGAAGGAACAAATGTCTCAGTGCATAACTGTGCTTGCATATAGAAATGTATGCCAATTCCTTAATTTATTCTATTATTCTACACACCGTCTTATAAGAGTAAAACCTAGTCCTTCAGTCTGAAGGAACTGGCATTTGTACCCACAAACAAAATACTAAAGGGAACATTTGAGCTTAACGAGAGATAAATTAACATGGAAAATGGAGAAAAATTACATGTCAATACTTATAATTTTTACTATTCACCTACTATTGCTAACATAATTTGACAGATGATGGGATGTGCAAGACACACTATGAATGAAGAAAACGAATGCTATTTGATTGGAAAAAAATAAACGAAACTTACATCTTGGGAAACTAAGGTCAGAGCTCATTTACATGTTTTCTTCGCTTTATGAGTAACTCTGAACTATGATTCTTGGGACTGGTATCGAAAACTCTAACATAATCCACAAACATGACTGCTCAGGAAACCTACTGTTGCTCCAAATATTTTAAATAAACCACATAATATACATCCTTTAAAGACATCAAAACAACTTTTCTGGTGTATTCTAAGCAGAATAACGACTTCAAATTAAATTTATTACTTACAATTATGGGAACACGTAGTGATCATGGATGTTTTCATATACTCATAGCATATTCCACACCTTAAAAGTGCGTCCAAATCCTACAATAAAATATAAGATTGAAAATAATAATTATAATTATTGCAGCTGAACAAAATTTAGTTGCAAAGAAGCCCAAATTGCTAAAATATGTTAATGACCTGACCTTATTGAGGTTATGGAAAACAAATGTCAACTTACCCTTATTACGGGCAATTCATTTTGCAAAATTACGCTCATTTCACACATAATAGATTGAAGTTACTATAAATTTTCTAAGATGACTAAAATATAAAAAAAAAATATCATTTTTCCAACAAAGAACTTAAAAAGTGTAGCATTCCCGCCAACAGAGATAAGTGAAATAATTTGATTGGCTGTTCCTCTTCGGGTTCATCAGCGAGGTCAGCGAGCGCGTTTGCAACTGTCCGAATCACTTATAGTAAAACGTCATTTATTTGTAAACGTTCGTAACCGTTGTTCCTATTCCGTGCTAATGTGTCCGACTAGGTATCTTATGCATCGTAGGAACCTAGGAATAGGAATCACTGTTTTCCTCATTGGGCTGGTCGGTCCTGCTCCGTCTGGCGAATGATTAAGAGCGGTGAAGGTTTTTAAAATGTAAATGGTATTAGAGTCATATAGACAAGAAGTAGGAGGAATAAACATTTCAAATGTGTGGCACGAAGGTAAGGAGACCAATCGATCTCTTATTTAAATACTGTTAGAACTACAGCATTTTTATAACGTGAGAAATTGGAGGTCAGATGTGGTTTCCGAGAGGGGTTTTGAGTAAGTTGGTTGGTTGTGCGTATGTGCGCTAGATTAAAGTGTGTCAGGATAGGGTTTAGTGACGGGTGTTTAATGAACACGGTAGTGAATCTGTGGGTTCCATAAAAAGTGGGGAATTTCTTGAGCAGCTGACGTTCTTGACTCGTGACCGGGCGGTTCTCGGTTCGACTCCCGGCCGGGACATCTGATATCCTGAGTGATGTTTTTCATAGGTTTCCTCAGCCCCTGGAGGCAAGTTTCAGGATGATAGACCGATTACGCCACCACCGATTTCTTTCAAACCATCAGTCCTTTGACGCTATACAGGATGATGCAAAGCTCTAGTACGATACTTATGACGACGTTCTTTGGGAAATCAGTTCCAGCTGAACTTCGAAGTAAAGTTTTTTCTTTGCAGATTAACTTCCGTTTCGGAGTTACGACATGTTTACGGTGATGACCTTTCTTTCAAACCATCAGTCCTTTGACGCTATACAGGATGATGCAAAGCTCTAGTACGATACTTATGACGACGTTCTTTGGGAAATCAGTTCCAGCTGAACTTCGAAGTAAAGTTTTTTCCTTTGCAGATTAACTTCCGTTTCGGAGTTACAACATGTTTACGATGATGACCTTTTGTATTATTGTGATCGTTTGAATGGAGGAGGCGAAATGGGGGATGGGAGGGGAGAGTAGCTTTCACTTGAAGATAGTTCAAGTTGCCGAATTTGTTATAGCAGTACCACACCAGACATGGACAACACATTGTAGCAAGTCATGGACATGTATGAAATGTATAATGAACTTGGTAACATTCCCTCCAACATTATTATATTTAAGCATCCTGTTGCACACTATACGATAAATGATATAATGATACAAACTCCATCCCAAGTGCAAACAATATATTATGTGTCCTTGATCTTGCTTCCTCTACACTACATGTTTTGGCCACAAACAGCCATCATCAGGTGTATACACTCACTGTTACACTGCACTTAGTTTAAAATTTAACATTTAAAAACACTTTGTTCCTTTCCTTGTTATTATCAACATCTACTTCGTTGATATCCGTCTGGTTTGTAGATTATTTTACACACGTTAATATTGATTTTCCTGTAGTAGCACTATAAAATCTTTAGTTCTAATTTTAAATCCTTTAAAATTTTTCTTTAAATTTTAAAATTTAGGCTACCCATGACTTATCATGGCCCAACTTATGAGCCATTGCATTTATGACTATATTTACCCTGAAAACCCCCTAATGTACATCTGTGGTTCACATATATGCCAGCATGTGATGATTCAGATGACAGAGATGCAGTCCCAGCCTCTTCTGTGTTTGTCCAATAAATCTCTTACTCCTCAAAATAAATTATGTAAGAGGAAATAAATTAATTTTTATGATATTTTTAAACATGTTTTGACTTGTAGTTACTATAGGATTCTGACGATGGTGTATAACACATTGATATATTGGGTTTTTGGACTTTATCCATCGTCTATCAATGTTTTGACTTATTTTTTATTGAATGCATGTTTTCACACTTATTAAGAAGTGTCTGTGAAGGCATGTAATTGGGGCATGTGGTAGTGTAGTTGGTTGAGGCACTATGCTACAAGCCGGAAGGTCGCGGGTTCTAGTCCCGATGAGGTCATTGGATTTCTTATCAATTGACCTAAACCTTCCAGCTGCACTATGGCCCTGGAGTCAACTTAGCCTCTAACAGAAATGAGTACCAGGAATTAATTAAATAATTCTCCTGGGGAGTAAAGCGCAGCCAGCGCGTAAGGCTCACAACTTTACCACCATCTTTGAGCCGATTGTCTAGATAATATGGGACCCTCAATGTCTCACAACCCTATGGGCCTTCACGGCCTGGTAGAGGGATAGCTTTATTTTTTTCAAAGGCATGTAATTAGTGTTTTACTTAGTTTTCTCCATTTGTTAGTCCAGGAATGGAACTGCAATTTATAACATTATGTTTATGGGAAAATGGGGTTGACTTATGATGGTGTGAGTTAAGCAGCTCCTCTGGAACCATTGTAAGTGTGGGGTTGCCTGCCAGTTTCACCAATATGAGTGTTATGAATCTAGTACACATAATTGTTCTTGCCTGATTTCCATTATATGGTACATACACATCACAGATGGTAGAATAATGCTTGGCCATCTTAGTATAGCTCTTACTATGTTATTAAACCCTGTAACTTTTGTGTGAAATGTTTCAGTACAGAAGTGCTTAACCATGTAAAACAGAAATGTTTCTTTATGCTATCAAGCCAAATGACAGTCCAAATTCACTCTTCTGCTCCAGCAGTACCAATGGTACCAGTTTTGATCCCCATTGTAATCTGTGCTAACAGAGTAAGATTTTGGCAAAATGTGCCCACCAAAATAGACAGATGTAAGATTTGAGGTTTTCATGGCGGTGACTATGAAGGAAGCAGTCTTCTGGGATGTGGCACCGTGTAGATGTGTTGTTAACCAACACGTTTCGGAGGAATGTATCGCCTCCATCTTCAGGGTAGAAGGAAAAATAAGAAATCCACAAGCGAAGAGACCGTGAGAACCGGTACAAGCAGACCCTGAAGATGGAGACGATACGTTCCTCCGAAACATCGGTTAACACCACATCTACACGGTGCCACATCCCAGAAGACTGCTTTCTTGAAAATAGACTTCGTTAGAAAGCATTGTATAGTGCACTTTTAGATAATCTCGCTGTCACAGCATAATGATTAGCCCTCCTGTCTGCATTTGAATCTTGCCTTGTATGTCAGCAGCCTTATATTTCTACTTTATCCATAATTCTACCTTTAAGTGAGCCAAGACTGGTACAGGGTTTGTGTGGATGCTGAAATATTATGAATTGAAATAAGAGAGCCCAGTGACAGAATACATATAAGTGAAAAGCCGAAGTATGTAATTGATTTGTCCTTTTCTACAGATATGTGTGAGCTTGAAGCCATGCTGAATAGTTATGTGAATGAGGATGTATCCACCTCAGAATCTGAATCAGAGAATGAACTCGCCACCATTCCTGGGCAGTCACCTTCTGAACTGACAAAACAGATACCGCCTGTTTTTGTGGAGAACTCCTCTGACGTCCATATTGGTCCTCGCCTACAGTACAATGGCCCAGTAACTGTCAAACAGTACATAACAGTGAATGGGAAAGGGAGTGTTAAGTCCTCACCTGGAAAACTCTGTAATGATATTGCCAGAACTGGTACAGAACCACCAGAAGTTGTGATTACAAATAGTATGTACACTAGAGTTGTTAAAAATTTTATATAAACAGTCCAAACCTAGGACTGTGAAAGCTATTTGGAATGTGGCATCTTGATTACTAAATTGATGAACCATCAAAGTATAGCAGTTGGGCACAATTTTACTGACTGATCTTTTTGAGCATCTAGATGCTCACTTGGAAGAAAATATTTGAAATCAACATAAACTAATTTGCTTCACTTTACATATCCAAATATTACCAGCAATCACTGTGCAATGGGGCAGCATCTGAGAAAAAAAAAAGTATTTCTATCTAAATTCCACCAGTGATGGCATTTTTGGTGCTGTAGCTTGTGGTCTGAGCCTCAGACTCCAGACTGTGGGCACCATTAGGTTAGAAACTGCCTGTCTTGTTAACTATTGGAGCTGCTGCTGTCCCTATGCATATTTATAAGGCTTTTTCTGTCGCACTTCTGAGAGGATGTGTGTGACATAATATAGCAGTTATCTACTGGTTTAATATATTGTAACGTGTTTTGTTACTGAAGACGCCGTTTGGATTGTTAACTGGTTTATTTAAGAACCTACCAGTATCGGCTACAGTTAATTACAACACTGTTGCAGGTTTCCACAGTTTACAAACCCTATGCACAAATCAATTCACTCTGTCCTCAGTAGTCTACACGTATTAATTACAATACGGGAGCTATACTAGTGTCACTGTATCACACACTCCCAATTATTACTCACTTATCACAAACTATCACTGATTATTACACGCGTCCGGTTCTTGTTTCTGTGACTGCTGCTATATTCCAACTCTGTCACTCCTGATCACACACCAACTCGTTCACTGCTGACTTGAGAACTATCTTCGGTGGCTGTGTAGTTCCCTTATATAGTCGCAGTGTTTGCCTGTACGTAGCAATTGCGGCTTTGCGTGTTATGTCACCGCGGGGAGAGGGGCGGGGCGTTGACTCGCCTATTACCATACTAACGACAGCACTACAATGCCACCACATACCGCTGGGGCGGGAGGGGGTGTCCTCCATAGCGCAACACATCACAATATCTTGGCACCTAAGTCCCTCGGACATTGACCCACTACAAGGAAATCTACTTTTCAAGGATTGATAGACAATTTGTAAATAGGACTCTGCAACATTCTGCAATTTCTGTGTGCAAGTTTAATCACAATATATACAATTACACGAAGATTAATACTCCACTGTTCACGCTTTAATTTTGCTTCCAAATGTATCTGCTACTCCTCCCTTTTACTACAAAATTATCTCTATATTGCTCTCAAGCTGGTTGCCCAAATTTTTTTTTGTTGCTAGTGGGGCGGGACTAAGTCCCTTGTACTGCGGCCACTTCTGGCCTATTGTACCAGCCCCAGATGATAGGTGAGGGTGATTGTGGAGCAATTGGTGGAATGAAGATTGGCAGGGGAAACTGAAGTACTCGGAGAAAACCTGCCCCAGCGCCACTTTATCCATTCCCCAAAGTTATTTTTCCTAAAGTGCATTTCTCTTCCATAACTGAGGTCTCAAATAATTATCATTTTAGGATTTTTACTACGATTTATATCCTAATTTAACTGACACACTTTCAGCCATTCTGTTAACTTAGAAAACTAATTTGGCTTTAGTCATTTTAATTTGCAGTCACTACTTGTGAACTACAGGAGTGCAGTGACAGCTGTCAGCTTCCTACTGACTGTTTCATCTTCTGCCAAGTATTATGTTGTTTGGACAAGATATATTGTTGAGTGGAAGCCTTTTGAACACTTGTCAAGAGTCTTCACTCCCTCATTCTGTATAGTGAATTATTGCTGCATATGCAGTATTAGTTCCTCATAGGGCAAGTGTTACATTGCTTGGCTGATCTGTTTAAACATATTACAACATAGTGGTTCATGTTTGAAAGGTACACTGTATATATCATGACCAAACCGAAACATCCATGTGACTCATGAAGATGATACTGAGGAGTGGACAAGGTACCCTGCTATGGTTTTAACATTGCATATATAGTGTCATTTTGCAACTTTTAAATTTTACTACTAACTTCTGTGTTTCACACCATCAGGGTGATGTTGGTTTTGAATGAGTAGTTGCCCTCACAACTCCCAAAGATACTTCCATTCACTAACAGTTTTAGTTAGTGAAAAATGCCTGCGGAGTTCTATATATAGATGCAGCTGTCTCCCTAGTTGCAATGAAAGTTAGAGTAATTAATGGGAAGACTGATCATGCAGCTGAATTATTGCCTTACTAGTATAGCAGTATAGCACAATATATGCTATGCCTTGGAACAGAGTTTAATTGCATCAAACTTTGTGGTTGACCATGGGTGATTGTACATTTTGACCATGTTGGATGAGCAGGTAGCCACCATATCAGTAAACAAATTCCATGTAGTGTTATATAAGAGGAAGATATAGTGATATTAAGAGGAGAGAGGTGTGGTGTGGGTGTTGCAAGCAGTAATATTGTTGATACTATACTATTAGTCTTCAATTCTTCTAACCAAAGTGCTTTTGTGTACTGTACAACTATAATAACTTCTTAATGTTCACAATTCTCTCACCACAAGTGAACCCGGCGACTGCTAGACTTCAACTGAACTCCTTAGGCATTCCATTTACTCTTATACACCCTCAGTTGGACAGCGGAAAACGCACCTTGCTTCACTGTTGCATAGTCACCGTGTTTACAGAGGTGTTGCTGCGCAATGCTGCTGAGAGATGTTTACTGCAACACTGCGTAGCAACCAGTGCGCTTCGGCTTGGCTCGGCATGGCACAGACAAACACCGCTTTCCTTACTGTTGCGTAACTTCGTTCCATATCCCGTTGCCCAACAATGGTTTGACATGTCACAATATTAAGAGAACAATTCAACAAGTGGTTGTCTCTTCATACATTGACATCCCACAAAAGTAAACAAATTTACTAATTGGTTCAAAATTAATTTAACTCATTATATTACTGAGGTTAATATTGTTCAGAGCATGCTGCATCTGCCTATCTTGATCTTTGTGAAGTTTAGCATAAAGAGCATGGCATTGGTCTCAGTCTTTACATATTGCCATTAAAAAATATTTGTATGGACTTATGCTGTTTAGGGTTTGAAAGTTTGTCTGATGGTAAAGGTTTTGAAAGTAGGTTACTTCTTGAAGGCAGATTTTTATAAATCATTGTACAAAAACAGTAAACTTACAGAATATTTTAGTGTGATGGAAAATCTAGGGAAACAGTATGGCTGAAGACATGTATGGTGACATGTGACAAACACAACTGCTGTCTTCATAAATGCTATTCAAATTTAAAAGGTTTAATTCATAATAATACCAGATTGCACCAAGTTGTTGGTGGGCGCTTTTAATACATGTTTGTTTCTTTAATCTCTAAGTGAATTACGATATACTGTCTTTTCTGTTTGTGTGTATATGTGTGCTTGCATGTGTGTATCCAGGTCACCCCCTGTATTAGGATCTTTGAAACAGTAATGCAATAAAAGTTATGTAAGATTTGAGGCTTTCACGGCGGTGACTATGAAGAAAGCAGTCTTCTGGGATTTGGCACCTATACACGGTGCCAAATCCCAGAAGACTGCTTTCTTCACAATAAAAGTTGTTCAGATTTGAATGCCATATGCCTAAGGTGATCCTCAGTTCATGAATGTTCTTATGCTACAAATACGTGAATATACACCACTTCCCCATACAGTATATCACTAATTAGTACATAACTCGTTGAAATGTAACTAGTGCACAATTTAGAGGATGAAGGTCTAACTGTTGATTAGTGTGCATGAAGTGGTTTATCAAAATTCTTTTTCTCTTCACTAGCTTACCAGGGATACAGTTTTCTTTTATACAGAAAAAAGTTTCACAAGTGTGAAATTTATCATTGTCATTGCTCAATTTCAGGTTACCAAAGCAACAAATTGTCGAGTTTTACATTGCATGAAGGTAAGTTATTCAGCTGCTTACAAATTAATGAGCAGTTTGTTGTTTAACTGTAGCTTTTTTATTCTCTGGTTACTGATAATTTTTTGAAATGGTAATGGGAAGTATATTATACTATATAAAGGAGATGATATAATTGACTCTTTGTATGTGTTATTCATGGGAGATGGCATTAGACTTCAGCCTTGATGTATTATTTGATAACATGTAGGATTGGAAAGTAGTAATGAAGAAGACAGGTGTAATTCGTAGGAGGAAAGCTTATATAAAAATGGTGATACTTCCTGTAAGGTTCTCTGTGGGTGTTACACTAATTATTCTTTCAAATACAAAGATTTGTTAGAGAAGTATAAGCCAGTATTGTTGTCCTTACCTGTGTGCTTTGGCAAGAGAGAACCTAGTGGCCCAGTCAAGTACAGTTGTATATTCAGTTTTTCTTCCTTAACAGATGTTTTGCTTGAAGGGTACTGTCTTTTGGGATGGGGGCCCATGTAGTCTGGTAGAAGTACACTGCCATTTCTACCGCACTATGAGGTAACACATCCCGAAATGTAGTACTCGTCATAGTTACTGCTGTGACATTTTGCTTGTTTTCCCCCCAACATTTTTGCCAATTTCTTTACTAGTGAGTGAAGTTTCTTTACTAGTGACTGAATATGAATGTACCTTGATCCCACAGTTAACACAGTTTCATAAATATCAGTGTGTCCAGTCATTCACAGTTTTCTTTTCACAGAACCACTGACATTAAGCTGTTTATTTTAACTTCTCTGCCTAACATTTTGTCAATCCGAGTTTTCCTAAAACTGAAATTTTGTGTAATACTTTCATATTCAATTCTAACACACATTTTGTTTTGGGACCCATTGCTCTGATCAAGGAATGGGATATTTTTAATTACAGACTAATTGCAGACAGCTGATCATATTCTTAATCTGTTTCAAACCATAGTGGGGTTTTGTATCAAGACCTTGAACAAATACCAGTGCACACTGCTAGAGGAAGTAGATTGCAGACACTCCAGTGTAAAGCTGTAATAAGCTTCAGTTTTCAGTAACTTTGAACAAATTCTTGGAACCAAATCAGTTTTTTAAGTAAGTTAAATTTTTACATGCTGTTTCATGGGGTTGTTTTTCTGCATTATGCTCTTATCAGTTCTTTAAGGTAATTTTACATCACATCTCTTTGCTTATCACTGGAATCAGATAAATATTTTGGTGAAAACAGGTTTTCATTACATGTTCTGTTTTAGCCATATGTCACCATACTTGTTTTGTGTGAAAGTATTCTCTGCTCTCGAGGCTCTGGAAAGGCTGGAAGAGAGAAATGGGTTCATGTGGTATTATCTTTTTTCTTTTTCCTACTTCCAGATGTGCTGAATCAGAACTCCAGGGATCAACTCTGTTCTCAAAGATGGCCTTGTCCAACAAATTACTACATTTGGGGTTCACTGGTGACTGTGTTGCTTGTAATCATCATTGTTACTCTTGCTGTTGTTTTGTCTGTGGCACAGTACGAAAGAATCCTTCCCAGTAAGATACAAAGTGTATTTGTTTGGGGTACTGCTTGAGCAGCTGTATGATCTTTGCATGGATGATGCATGGACAGTATGCTGTCAGATCAGTTTCTGTGTACAAATAGTGTAATAATTATGCCTCTGAAGTGTATGAGTGAAGGAGTAAGTTGGCACTAGAAGTGTTCCATAGAGTATGATCATATTAGTATGCTTTCTGCCTTCTGTATTCCCTGAGTTTGAACACACAGCAAAATCTTGTTTGTGCTGCATGGAGCATGATTGTACCTATATGTTTTCAACTTTCTGTGTCTTGTGGAATATGAACATGCAGAAGGTTTTAGCTTTGAGGTTCTCAGAGCACTATCTATGAAGTGTGCTGTCTTCCGGAATGTTATGCCATTTGTATACTATTTGTACGTAATTTGGCACTGTATTGATTCTGCTGCTTGCTTAACTTACTCTTTGACCATGAAGTTGGAGACAGTACCTTCCACCAAAATAATGGTAGACCACCAGATTACATACCATAACATCCCAGAAGATAATCCTCCTCTTTGCACTTTTGTTGACCATAAGCTTCTGAAGCATATTGCTTAGGGAAAGGAGGAAGGAGATAAAAGAATAAGACTCGTTGGAATACAGATTCATTTAGTATGAAAAGCAAAACCAGTACTTGCCTAATAGGTAATACAGTCTTACTCTTCAGCATGATTATTACAGAGTAATTGTTAAAGCATGTGGGACACTTGGAGACCTTCACACATTCTGTACTTTTGTTATGTATTGAACTTAGTTGTGAGTGTCGTACATGAACTAGTGTACACTTAGGGAATGAACAGTTTATACCTGTTACACATGAAGCTGGGTGGGCCCTAGTGTCATTATGGTATAGGTGATAATAGAAATCCTGAAGCTTCTAATAGAATTCAAAGCCCAGCCCTTCATCTCATAGCTAGGCACTTTACTAATTGATGTAATTTGAAAGGTACAAGAAAAAAATAGATTAGGGTGTACTGAAGATTGAAAATAATTTATTTCACCGGAATATTACAGATTGTGAACATGTTAAGTCCAAGATGTATGCCATTGTAAATGTCTAGTTGTTAGGAGACTCTGAAGTTAGATTTTCTGTGGGATGTTTTTTCACATGCATCCGTAATTTATTAATGAAAACCTCAGAATTCAATGCATGATTTAAAGTAATTTGTTGTCTGTTATGCATGTGCTAGTGACAGTATATGTTGAGAATGATAAACATAATTAAATCAGTGTTCAATATAAAGTGGCCACATACACTACTCAAACCTGTAATTTCTCAATGATTATAGAATTTTCCATTTAAAAACTTGTCTTATGATTGTAGCAGTTACAATATATACTTAGCTAACTGACGTTATTGTTTATGTTAATTAGCTATAAAATCTCTGTTTCAGAATGTGAAAATTAAGGTTCATTGAAGTACACAGTGTAACAATAAATTTCCCATACCTACACTATTACAGTGATACTATTAATGCCATCTGTTGGGTGTGTATGGGACTAGTTAGATAGAATGTTTCTTTATATGTTCGGGAAGTTTCAACTTGTTTGAGATAGCGTAGTTGGTTGAGGCACTATGCTACAAGCTGGAAGGTCGTGGGTTCAAGTCACAATGAGGTCATTGGATTTTTTTCATTTGATCTAATCCTTCCAGCCGCACTATGGCCCTGGGGTCAACTCAACCTCTAACAGAAATGAGTACCAGGAATTAACTAAATAATTTTCCTTGGGAGTAAAGCACAGCCGGTGCGTAAGGCTGACAATCTTACCACCATCTTTGAGCCGATTGTCTGGATGATGTGGGTCCCTCAGCGTCTCACAACCCTATGGGCCTTCACGGCCTGTTACAGGGATAGCTTTACTTTTCACTTTTTACTTTGGTTGATGCATGTGAGAATTACAGTTGTTTTGATAAATTGTTTTCTTCATGTCAGAGGTTTCAAAATAGAACAGAGCAGTGATTAAGTTTTCTTTAAAATTAAAGGAAACAGCTACAGACACATTTGAAATGTTGAGAAAGTGCCTATTTTGCAGAATGTTTATCCAGAACAAGTGTGTTTGAGTGGCATAAGATGTTCACAGAAGCTCAGAAAGTGAAAATGCAAAAATCGCAGGTGAAAACAATGTTGACTGCATTTTTTGATGCTGAAGATATCATTCATCACAAATTTGTATAGGAGGAACAGACTGTAAATGATAAATATTATAATGAGGTGATTGAGATATTGATCGCTTGAGTTCGTCACCTTAGGCCTAAGTTTCAGGAAAGTATGTCATGGTATCTTCTGCAGTTCAGTACACAGGTGCATTCTTCAGGGGTTGTTTCTGAGTTTCTGGGGAAACGAGGGATCTATGTGTTATCCCATCCACCCTACTCCCCTCATTTAGTGTCGGCAGACAATATTAAAATGGATCTTAGAGAGAGAGGTTGGGATGGTATTAATAGGATAGATCTGGCTCAGGATAGGGACCAGTCGAGGGCTCTTGAGAACATGGTAATGAACATTCGGGTTCCATAAAATGCTGAGAAATTCTTGAGTAGTGCACAATTGGCGGCTCCTCCAGAAGTGCTCAGCTCTATGAGTAAGTAAGTAGGTAAGTAAGTAATGAAAGAGACAGGATTTGAGGCTGTTTCATCGATCCAACAGACTGACGAAAGAACTGAAGGCGATACAGGAAGACGTGTTTTCTTGGGCGTTCAGTTTGCTGTATGAGTGGTGTAAATGTGCGGAAGCAGGTGGGGACTATATTGAGTGATGGTATTAATAAATATTTGTTTATCTATTTTGTGTGGCTTTTTATGGCCTCATTTCAGGAACTTAATTGTTACACTGTGTATGTATTATCCTTTTGCTATCAGCAGAGAATAATGGTATCTATATTCACCAGACTATCAGCCAGCACACAGAAACAGCATCTGATCTTTGTACAATACATTTCCCCATACCCAGGGTGTTAATTTCTCAAAATTGATGTAACTTTCCATAACCATAAAATGGTTAAATGTTTTGCTATATACTTTTCAATATTGAGCAAGTACTAGAAAGTCAGTAGCATTTTATATGCTTATTTCATCATGACCTGAGTTGAGATCAGGTCCCGCTCAGATTATCAGTCTATAGTGAGCACCCTGATTTTAACTGATAGATCTTGTGTGTTACAGATAAAATTCAGTTCCTTTGTGAAAATGAAGAAATAGATGTATATGAAGGTTACAAGTCCATTCAGTGGTATGTGAACGTGACAGCGTCCTCTGAACCAAAACTTGTATGGTATACACCTGACTGCAAAGTATTAGAGGAACGTGATGGCCCATCTAGATATGAAGTGTACACTTCTCCAGATGGAGCATCAACCAAGCTGAAGATATATGACATCTCGCTGAAGGACAGGGGCTTGTATCGGCTACAGGCTCGCAGTGAGGATGAAGAAGAGTGGGCCTATTTTTCACTCAATGTGAAAAGTGAGTACAGTTCACTTTTTTACATTCTTTTTATTTACCACAGTACCACAGTACAAGTCCTGAATTAATACTTAATCCTGCCATGATGCAATTATAGTAGTAGATTAGGTGGATTATTTTTTCTTAAAAGCTGTAACTGGCAATCGAAAACAAGATGTCATGCAATAGTGTGTTAATTGATTAATTTTATGCAGTTTACAGTTTCTTGTAATGTGAGATGTAATCAGAAAGTATTGAAAAAATTCTGTGAAAAGTAATATACAGTACTTGCAAGGTTTGAAATTTAATCCTCCACAAAGTAGGCTGCTTTAGTACAAATGAGGTGTGGCTAGAAAGTTCCAAGCTGGGCTGCAGAAGAGCTCTGCTCTCATGTCCTGTTTCAGAGCTGTCGTATCATTTTCCTTCAACTGTGATAGTGGTTGTGACTTCTTGTGCATTTATTGTGTGTCTCACAATATTAAATTACATGAGAGTGTTTTGTAATTGGGTGGTATAATTATAGCAAGATAATTCTTTTTTGCAGTGCCACTGAAATGTACATATTGTTAGGAATTAATGGTGTGTTTGCAGCATCAAGAATATGAGTTTTTTGAGTGTTACAAATGATTCTCTGAAAAAATTGAAGATGTCCATGATGATTCTTGATTGGGCCAGCCTACAAGGTCATAAACTGATGAAAATCTTGTAGAAATGCGGCAGCTTGTTCATGTCAGTTGAACATGACTCTCGGGCAGAATGGTAGCAGAAGAACTGGGGATGGATAGAGAGATGGGTGTGTGTGTGTGCGTGCATGCATTATTTTATCCGTCTGTCTTGAAATGAAACAGGTTTGCGCTCAGATGGTGTAAAATGTGAGCAATGACCAGTGCCTCTGATGAGAACAGATTAGCATCGGCCTTCTGGACAAAATTCAAGTGTTAGTTAACTTTCTCAGGAATGCTTTCACATGGCATAAACCATGGATGTTTCATCACAACCATAACACCAAAAACAGGGCAAACAGTGGAAGGTAACAAGTTCTAGACTGAGAAAGCAAGGCTCTGCAAGTCAAAATTCAGGACCACTCTCATGATATTTCTTTTGACAGAAACATAATTTTTCACTCAGAATTTGTTCTGCAAGGAGAACCTGTCACTCCCATGTTCTGTCTTGAAGTTCCTACAGTATTTGTAGAAAGAAGTGAGGTGGAAAATGGGCAACTTGTGACTGAAGAAGTGGGCATTGGATCAAGGCAAGCCATCTGCTCACAGTGTAGTATCAGTGAGGCAATTTCTGATGCAAAAATGGATTATATTGGAACAACCTCCATATTTTCCCAGTTTGGCTCATGTGGCTTCTTTCTTTTTCAAATTACGAGATGTTCATTGCAAGGACCCATTTTCGGTTGGTGAAGGCGTGGTAGCGTACTGTAACATGGACACCTGAAGGGTTTCTAGGCAACGGCTCTGTAAACATGTTCCCATAATTCGCAACAATAGAAGCTGTATATCAGTGAACGAATGTTTATTGTTCATTGTTAGTCAAGGCAGCGCACCAATGAATTCACTGGCTAGGAATCACGTGACTTGTTTTCTGTAGGTCCGTGCTGAAGGTTTATTGGGGACAGCGAAAGCCATTTGAAGTCAGTTCTCGGTAGGAGGCAGCTCAAGGCAATTGGGAGACTAATGTAGTGCAGTTGTGATTTCTACACATTTTGAAAAAAGATTATGGGGAAGTGAAGATAACAGAATCGAGAGAAGAATCGAAGAGTAGAGTTCTAGAGACTACAAACAAAGATTAAAATTGAAATGTTGAAGACTTTGTTTTATGTCTTATCATTGTTTGTAGTTGTGAAGTACTATAGTTACAGTAAGACTGTGTTACCAATAATTGTAGTGACAACCTGCGAGTTGTTAATAAAGCCAATTACCTATCCAAACCCGCATCTTAGTCACCCAAACATGTGAGAATACATATTCCTGCTAAACCCAAAATCAGAAGATGCATTTCAAAAATGCTTTTGAATGTGACAGAAAAGATTAGCTTTGTATGCAGCTGCCAAAAGGAACTGTTATGAAGGTGACAAGAACAATTAATTGAGAAGCTGAGTTTTAATGTACTTACGCAGTAATTCATAGAACTTTCTAGCCACACCACATACATATGTTTCATCATTTCCTTACATGCCAGAAGCCCTTCTGAGGCTCATTTTTTTGACACTCTTGACTTGGACTTCAGTTATAGATTTATTAGCTGATACTTGCAAAAGGCACTTCGTTATAATTTGTGTTTTAACCAGTCCACTGTACCTCATCACTGTCTCCTTCATATCACTGTCCATATTTTTGAAATTCATCCATACTTCATTGAAAAGTCTATCACTTCTGTGGTTTTCATCTAATCCTTTAGTATCCTTTGCAATACTGGGTCCTAGTATTCATCTCTGTGTTTTCAGACCTGTCCTCCAACTTTGTCCTAATATCCATCTATGTCTTAGAAACTAGGTGTCAGTATTTTAACATGAAGCCCGAAAGTGAGAATTGTGGAGTCCAAACCCACAGAGAAGTCTGTTGTTTGACAGTGGCTCAATAAACACCTTCCTTCAGCAGCAAATATACACAGCAACAGAGGAACTGTTGGAGGTCGTGTCTTCTATGCAGTCCATCACGAAGTTTTGTATGGAGGACAGTGGTACCAGAGAAGCATGCCTTGAAGGCTCTGAGAGCCATCAGACAGTAAAATATGGTCATGAATCCTGAGGGACTCAGAACCAAAAATCTCTGTCCTGGCAAGGGCCAGTAGCAGTTTACTAGACCACACCGGACCAGTGCAGCACCATGGACTGGACTTGTTAGTCAGTCTGTCAGGAGGAGTTGCAAGACTCCCAGAGTTGTGAGGCAGTAAAATATGGCTGAGTCCTGTGGGACTCAGAACCATGAATGACTGTGCTGGCAAGGGCCGGCAGCAATTTATCTGACTCAATCCAACACAGAGCAGTACTGGTTGCAGTGATTGCATAACTCCCAGAGTTGTGAGATGCCAATACACAAAAGAATGAGGTGGTTTCAAAAGTTAATAAAAAATTTATTTCTCAGCTTACACAGGCCAACCTACATTGTCAGCGGCGGCAGCTGTCCAAGTTTTTCATGCACTACCAGCAGTTCGATTCTCATGCTTACTGCATGGCTGCGGGGTAGTTTCAAAGATGGTGTTGCAGCAGGGGAAGGCTTTCTGTGTGCTCCATTTTGAGGTGTCCAGATCTGTGATTACAGTGCAGCGCAAGTTTCATGCACAGTTTTAAAAAGACGTGCCACACAAGAATAACATAAGCAGGTGATACCGACAGTTTGTAGAGACTGGATGCTTGTGTGACAGCAAAAGTCCTGGTCGACCTCGTGTGTCTGATGAAAACATCGAAAGAGTGCATGAGGTGTTTCAGCAAAGTCCCTGCAGGTCAGTGTGTAGAGGAAGCAGGGAATTGGGCATGCCAAAAATGATGATTTGGAAGATGTTGCATAAGCAGCTATGTTTTAAACCGTACAAGATGTGATTGGTGCAGGCCCTTAAACCAGCAGACAAAGTGAAAAAGTGTGAGTTTTGCGAGGAGATGCAGTTGAAAATGGAGGAAGGTGGATTCGTAGAAAGACTAATCTCCGATGAAGCCACATTCCACATCAGTGGCAAGGTGAACAGACACAATGTCCATATCTGGTCAACCGAGCAACCACATGCACAGATAGAACACCAGCATGATTCTCCAAAAGTCAACATTTTCTGTGTGGTGTCCTGTGAGAAAGTGCACAGCCTATTTTTCTTCGCTGAGGCAACTGTGACTGGCGACTCATTTTTGGACATGTTGGAAAGCTGGTTGTTACCCCCAACTGAATACCAATCATGACGATTACATTCTACAACTGGCTGGAGCTCCTCCCATTTTCACAGGAATGTACGAGTGTTTCTCAGTTGTGTTCTTCCACAGTGCTGGATCTGACGTGCTGCTGCAAATGGAGACGACAACCTCCCTTGGCCACCCTGTTCGCCAGATCTTACACTGTGCTATTTCTTTGGAGGTTCGTTAAAGACAGTGTTTATGTACCACCATTGCCCACGTCCATCCATGAACTTCATAATCGGATAACGCATGCACTGCAGGCCATTATGGTGGACATGTTACACTGGGTCTGGGATGAGTTATTACAGTGTGGATGTGTGTTGTATGACCCCGGGTGCACACATTGAAGGTTTATAATTAACGTATGAGAAACTTGAACAGTTGCCGCCACTGACAGTGTCTGTTGTGCCCATGTAAGTTGAGAAATAAATTTCTTATTAACTTTTGAAACCACACCATTCTTTTGTGTATACCCTGTATATGATCATGAGTCCTGCTGAATTTGGAATAAAAAAGACTGTGCTGGTGAAGTTCAGCAAGAATCTACCCGACCAACTGACCAAGAGAGCTGCATCAATCAGGCAGTGAATTGGCCGTAGTTAGCAGCAGTTTTCAGACCCCTCCTCTTGTTGAAGAGGAGGCCCCATTTCAAAGCTCATACAAATGGTCTTGGAACAAACAAATTATGGTGATGGATCCCGACAGATCCTGAAACCAAGAATGACTGTGCTGGCAAAGGCCAGCAGCGAATTACTGTTCTGCTCAAGAGTTGTTGTTAGCAGCCAGTCGCCATCCAGCAAGGATAGGAACTGTTGAGTATGAAAGCAAGAAAAGGAATCCCCACTGTTGGAAGCTGCTACCAAACAGCAGGTGCATGAAGACAGGGCATACTGGGAAGATGTGGAGTGTTATGTAGTTATTTGTATATCTTGTAGAATAGTGAAAGAGATGTAATTATTTGTGGTTATGAATATCAAGCATCCAGTAGATTCAGTGATCAGCCCAAGCCCTGTGTCCAGTCACTAACACATGACAATTTTTATTTTCATATGCCCATCATTACCTGGCAGGAAGTTTTGTTCTCTGCATTATGTTGTTTGTGTTTTACAGGTAAGAAACCTCTTGAAAAGGAACGTGTTGTGGTGTGCTATGTGGCTGAGTGGGCACACCTCAGGTTGGGCCTTGGCAAGTTCACTATTGATGACATTGTCCCAACACTCTGCACCCATCTTGTATATGCATTTGCAGTGCTTAATATTAACAGGAATTCTATTGAAAGTATGTTACCTGACTATGACCTGAAGGACAACAATGGCGCAGGTTGGTGCCTGTGGAGTAGAGCTGTGTTTTTATTATGTCACGACTTCCCTATTGCCCTTGTAAAATCTGTAAGTTATGTCAGAGGTGCAAGAAAGTTCACAAATTTTCAGTTCTTACTTTTACTATAGCACTTGTTTGGATGTGTCAAGTGTTGTAGTTATGTTTGTGGCAATTTGCAGTGTTCCCAAAAACACTGAATGTGATCTAAAAAGCTACAGTGCTTCACGCTGAAAACCAGGACTATGTTTTATTGTTCATTATCCTTAAAAGCCCATGATCTAAAATGAATGCACCATTCATTTAATTTGTAGGTTGATTAGCACTTTGCGGACCGCACACCCTTTAAAAGGTTTTTCGCTTTTAAACATGGCGGACCGCTCACCTCTTAACTGGCTTTTAAAACACGAAAAGTTGTGAAGAGTGAACATTCCAAGGGGAAGCATCTTTCTAGGCAGTGCCGTGTTTCCACAGTTCACAAAAAGAGGAGCATGTCTACATTTGCAAGTTCTCTGTAATACCACTTCACAAAGGGAATGTTTCCAGAAATATCACACTCTCAAGCACTTCTAGGAGCACTGGAAAGTGTTCTCCAAAAATTTTAGTTCATAAAATTAATTAGGAAATTTTATATTAATTTTTAAAGTGAACAGTGCACAAGTTAGGGTACTAGGTTTAAAAATGCCGGTCCCCAGGGTGATTTAAATATTTAAATTGCCGGTCCGCGAAGTGTTAATAGTGATGTATTGGTGGAGAGATGGTTTAATATTACTGTGAAGGTTGGTACTGAATTCTTAGCCAGTTGATTGTTTATTGCATTTAAATTATATAATTTTCATTTATTATGTGTGATTGTTAACATTTTGGACTCCAGATCTAATCCAAAATTTAAAGCCTTCCACCAAACTAGAAATATCGCTCATATGCCATGTGTTTTCTGCAGATAGTGATGGTTTTTCTGCTTGAGGTGATATGGTTCTCATGACTTGCCTATTCTGAATTAGGTTGACATAATACTGGTATGGTTCTCATTTGTTTTTTGTGAACATAGTTTTATGAGACTACATTGTGTCTCAGAAGATCACAGTCAAAATTTTTATTAACTATGACAACTTTAAATATCATAACTCTGGAATAGATTATGTTAAATGATTTGTTAATGCAGGAGCGTATAGCAAGATGACATCCCTCAAACAAACGTACCCACATCTTAAGGTACTGCTTAGTATGGGTGGATGGGCAGAGAGATTGGAGAAGAACTACTCAGCAGTGGCAGAATCTCCTGCCAGAAGAAAGGCTTTTATCAGTAGTGTCTCCAGCTTCCTCAGGTGAATTGCAATGTGTCAGTTTATAGTGACAGTGATCACTCTCTGGATTTATATTGTTAACCTTTAAACGCCGGACTTCAAAATAGTGGTAAGCTTGAGCTGGCCAGAGTTTATTTAAATGCCCGTTGCTACTCTGCGTTTAAATGTCCGTTCCTATTAGGCGCTTAATCAATTTTAAGCGTTGTGTTTATAAATGCTGTATCTTGCTCAATTTTTATGATAAATGGATGGTATTAACTTTGTTTATATCAGCAAAGAACATAGTGTCGCATATTATAATGGAAGATTTGAAATTTTTAATACAAAGTGTTATACTCCATTTTCAATTTTTTGTTTTAATTTTGATGCGTACTGCAAAATTGGTTTCCCAGTTCTTCACGGAGTTGTTCTGCATTATAAATTCATTTCTGTTTGTAACACTTGACGAATTTTAGCAGTCCCTGGTGTCATAAAACAGATGGAAGCAATAAAATCATTTGGTCTTCTGCTAGCCCTGCTTACACTCTTCGGATTTTCGAATCTTTTGACTGAAGGACAGAAGAATGAAAGCATGGCTATTCAAGAGAAAGCTAGAGGGGTCCCTTCTTCAGTGCTAAGACCTTCCGTTAGAGCTGCAAAATTTTATTGCCCCTTCTATTTGAATGAGCAGACAGCTGCATCGTGGCTAAGATACAGAGTGCGATCTGTTTTCTGTGCGTTCGTAGTGAAATCGAATACTGTAGTATAATTTCAGCCTATATATACATCAAGCAGGTAACAACAGAAAAGGTATGTACATCGAATTTTACAATATATTTTTAACATACCTATCTGCAGAATCTGCAATAAAATTACTGGATCGTGGATAAGTTTTGGCATAACTCATATGTATATTTTTATTTGCTGTTGTTCATTTAGGTATCAATTTAATTCCTCTATTAGGGTTTTACTCAAGTCTGTCTGGTAATTACTACATTTAAAAATAAATAGTTAGGACTGTGCATGTGCTTCCACTAGTGGCGTGTGCGCGCGCTTCCACTAGCGGAGTTTAAATGACTGACTGGCACAAACGGGGCACTTTGGCCATGACGACCTTACTCATGACTGGCACAAACGGGGCACTTCGGCACTTAAAGGTTAATATGTAGTGCTAGGTCTGCTGGAGTCTGCTGAACCACACTTGTGCTCGCACATTTGTACAATGCACGAACAATACGTTTAAAGTAGCAGATGTTCTGATTAAACACATACACATTCTTCAAATTGTATTTTATGATCTGCGAGGATATTTTGATAGTTTTATGACATATATTAGAGAAAATACAAATTATTTAATGAACTACAACCCTTGAAGAAGGTAGCAGGCTACTGGAACATGATGATCCTTTTGGTATATAATGTTGGTTAAAGTTAGTGAATCCTAAGGTACTGTGCAGTTGCATTCTAGTGTATTTGAAAAATACATTACAGTTGTGTTCTTATTTAAAAATTCGAAAGTTTTCTAAATTTCACCACATCTACCACACTGCATGGCATTCCATCTTAAGAGCATTCTTTGTAATCACTCAAAGTAAAAGTTACTATAATTTCATAACTTAGGTAGGGACTTTTTGGGCACCCGTAATTGCTTAAAAATTGTGTCAGAATATATACATATTTTGGAATGACAGTGACGGAGTTTACGAAAAAATGTAATGCAGGTTAAATTCAGGGAATGATTGCTACCAGTCAGTTCATAATCTCTCATTTTTCTGTTTGCAATCTAAAGTCAGTAAGATTAAAATTTAATGTGTGTTTTGTATGGGTGTGAGACTTTCTCTTGCATTAAGAGAACATAGGTTAAGGATTTATGAGAACAGGGTGCTTGTGACAGTATGTGGTCCTTAGAGGGAAGGAATGAGGAGGCCTACTAGTTGTATTTTCTACTAAGCACTAGCAAAATGATTAAACCAAGGGAGAGAGAGGAAATGGATTCAGAGGGTGTTCAGAAAGCCTGAAGAGAAGATACTGCTAGGGACATCCAAGTATGGCTGGGAGGATAATATTAAAACATATTAAATGAGGGTGTGGACTGGATTCATTTGGCTTAGGACAAGGACCAGTGGCAGGCTCATGTGAACATGGTGATGAACCTTAAGGTTCCATAAGAGGCAGGTGATTGACAAGCTTAATGACTTCTAGCTTCTGAAGAAAGAATATACTCCATGGAGTTACTTTAATATAATTTTTGTAGCATCTGGGTGATATATAGATGGAACAATATATATCTTGACTACTTCTATGTGAGCCATTAAAGGTGCAGGAAGAGTACACTTGTACACCACAAATGCCATAATTGGTGGAGACTGTGTTTTTCCACATTTCATTGTATTAATAATACACTGTTGCAGAAAGTATGAATTTGATGGACTTGATCTCCACTGGCAGTATCCAGGTCAACAATATGGTGGTGTCCCTGCAGACAAGGAGAATTTTGTGCACCTATTGAAGGTATACTGATGATATGCTGTTGTAGAGAACTGACTTCTGCTTGGGCCCTCAAAGAAGAAGGGGCCAATTTGTCACTTCCCACTTGCTTCTGCAAGGTCCCTGAAAAGTTCTTTTTCCCCAGTTCTCAGTGGTCCATTTTCCTTCCTGTGAGGAAACTATCTCTGAAAACAACTGTCTTTTCTCAGTTCCACTTTGCCTCATACAATGGAAAACAATGTTGTGGCCCTGAAAACCACTGTCTTTTCTTACAGTTCTGTTTCCTTCCTGCAGTAGGAAATGTACTAATACCCTGAAAAAGCTATTTTTCTGCTTCTGCTCTCATTGGTCTTGACTGGGTTCAGTTTCCATATGCTTTGTATAACAACTGATTTCTCACCTTACACACTTGAGTCTTGAAGACAAATACATCATTCCTCTGAAGCATCAGCATCCACATTAAAACTATACATTCTTACAGTCCAAAAGCCCAAATCTGAACAGTCACTGCTGTGAAAATCTCAAAACTTATAAGTACATAGAGTGTATATACAGTGTTCACATAGAAAATCATAAAAATGCGCATATGGTGCATGGCCATTTCTGGGAGGTTACCACACACAGGTTTACGTATTAGGAATAGTTTTGACTCCATACCTAGGTTTCAAATTCTTGTCCCTCCATCGTGTATTACCAGGTTCTTTTTTCTCCTTTCAAGCAGCCATTCACCTTGCAAAGTCTGGACTATATTGCAAATAAATTGAAGACATGACTTACTTTTCTCTATAATATTTTCAGAAATAACAGATATGAATTCAAGAACACATAGGAATAATGTTAAAAGTCTCTTCTGATAGTTTACTGATGTTCTTTCATCTGGATGAAAATATGCTGTTTCATTTGTGTCAGTTCCGTCCATGTAAGCATTGTAATTAGATTGTCACATTAAGCATAGCCTGCTCTGTGTTAACATGTATCCTCCATGCTTGATTTTCGGTGGCATCTTTATTAATTAGAAAAACTGTGTGGTTATTTTATGACTTGTTTTATTTTGAACCTGTCAACAACAGTGGTCCTTGTTGACAGTATGTACTGAGCTATTATAAAGTCTGTTCATATGAGTTTTGACAGGACTTTTCAGTTTTTTTTTTTCTTATTGTGCCAGTGATGTAGGTATCCAAATTGTAAGGCTGTGTGACTAGGAGAATTGAAGTAAAAAAATTGTTCATGTACGTATAATATTCCTTATTGAAATAATGACCCTTGTTTACATTTTAATAACAAACTGAGTATTCCAGTCAATTATTTTTTATTTCCACATGATCCTAATTTGATATAGGGAGCTGAGATAGTGCAGTCAGTATAGCAGTCAGTTACGGGCTGGAGAGCTGGGGGTTTATTCTTGTCAGGGCAAGAGATTTTTCCCTTTACAGTGTTCATACTGGCTTTGGATCCCACCCAGCTTCCAGTACAATGCGTTCTGGGGATTCTTTCCCCAGGGGTAAAGCAGCCGGGGTCTGAAACTTACCACGCACATCCATCTAGTGCTGAGGTCAAGATTGGTGGAGCTATACCTCCACTCACCAGTGTATCTTCTTAGCATAATTCTTAATTAATTAAGCTCAGGAACAACTTTGTCTTTAAATTCATTTGTAATTTCTTGCCACAGGTGTAGGAAACCATACAGAACTTACTGATGGAGTCAAATAGCATCCAAATTTTATACTGTATTCATAATGATGCTCATTTGAAATGTAGCAGCTCAGTGGGAAGTTAACATGTTGCGAACCAAACTACGTTAAACTGAGAACTGTAGCAAAACAGTTCTTATGACCAGAACAGTTGGATTATCATAGTTGACAAGATGAGAATATTTTATCAGAAACTGAAGTCTTTTCTGGAAAACATCTTGTCAGAAGATGGTGTCACTATTTGCTTTGTTGTGCTCCACTGTGATTCAGTTCTGGATTTTCTAATAAGTGCGAGGTTCACAATATATGCAGTGTAAACCCTTATTTGTGTGAGGGCATTGGTCAACATTGTCCAGATTTTCATTTAGGAGACAGCTCATTAGGAGCTGTTGTGTATGATGGTTTGGTTTGTTTACTACCTACATCAGTAGAGCATAAGTAAGAAACAGATTGAAGTATGACCACTGTTTGGGAAGCTCTTGTGGGAGGAGTCTGTTTCAATGCATGGATTACCAGGTAGCTAGATGGTGACCTTAGGTAATATCTGTCAACATTTTTGTCTTCCGAGTGATTATAAATAGACTTTACTGTTGTCAGTAGGTCCATGCAGTGTCTCATGCTTGATATGCTCTATTGACAAATGCTATACCAGTTTATTAACAACAAACCAATTTTGGTTTTTGTATTTGTTGTAATGCAAATAATGTATGTGTAGATCTGGTTGGTATGTGTCATGCAGAGAGCAAAATTGCATTTCTTGGATTTCATGATTAGTGAGAAGCCAGGATAATCATCAGTCAGTGAAGTGACTTGCTTTCAGGCTGGACTTAACAGGGTTCAGTTCCTGGCATGGACTGGAATGTTTGTCCTATCAGTGCATACATACCAGCCCAGAGGTTCTTTTGCACTCATTGGGTAAAATTGTCTCTTTCTTCAGAGAAAGATGTCACTCACCTCAGTCCAGTGCCGAGGTTAAAAACGTGTTCAGCTTTACATCCGGTATCCATATAGTTTTGTGGCATGATGGTTAAGAAAAGAAACAAATTGAAATTGATCTTTAAAGTTAGTTTAATCCAATTTGCATGCATTGTAGCTTCATATAAAGAACTACTTACTTCCTGGATTATTGTATTGATTTGAATGTCTTAAAATAGTGTACTGTTTTCTGTACTATGCCACATTATAAATTGTATACATTTCATTCACTAAATTCTGTAATCAGTTGTCACATTCATGTACAAAATTTTGTTTAACCTTCAGTGGGCAGTTAGTATATTTTAAGCCAGTAAAATGGTGGCTGCATATTTATCTGTGCAGTAATGTATCATCCTTCACCCAACATGTGAAAGGTGCCTACAAGAAGATGAATCAGCTGCACATTTCCTATGTGACTGTGAGGCCATAGATTATTTAAGATTTTGTCACCTGGGTCAGTTCTTCATGGAACCGAGTGACTTTTATGATTCCACCATAAATTTCATTCGAAGTGTAGGATTAATAAAGGGTTAATCCAAAGGGGAAGCACAATAGGTCATTGAAGGTTGCATTGCGGGGGCAGGATTTAAAGCCCACAACTTAACACACATACACACATACAGTGTATCATCCTTTCGATAACTGTGTTCTGAGTTCATTGGATAACCAATTGGGACAGTGTGTTTATGGTTTTCCTCTGGCCCTCCCAGTGGAATGGAAGTTACTGGAATGATGGCTGCTTCTCCTGCACTATCCCATTTTGCCATTCACAGTGATCCCGTCTTCTTGCTCAGCATGACCAGTTATCATCGCAGTTAATGGTTAGCACATCTGCTTTGTATTGTAGAGGGTAAAAAACTGATGGCCTTCTGTGGGACTGGAAAGTTAATTACCATTTTCATGAGTGTCTGCTACTGGACCTATATTGAGCCAGATAACTCCAATCCACATTGTTGCATCATATTTCTTCAAGATCCATTTTACGGTTCATATTTTGGGTGTCCTGGATTTGACACCAAGCAGTGTTGTGCAGATTTGTGTTAGTGATTTGGAAAAACTTACTGCCTCCATCTTCAGGATTGAAGTATTCCTCTGAACTGCTTGTACCCACCTACATGGCACCACATCCCAGAAAATCACAACATGGATTCTCACTGCAGTGAAAAGCTCAGATTAGTATATTTTAATATTATTTTCCATCTACTCCTAGGTCATCCAAGTGGTCTTTTTCTCTCTGGTTTTCCAACTTAAATTTTATATGCATCTTTAAGCTGTCATTGTTTGCTACATGAACCACTCTTATGCAATACAGGCTTCTCAGACCTCATCTTATTTTCTCTCTTAGGTAGCATCATTACAAAAAGTAAGAAGTGACATTTAAATTTGATACAGCATCAGTATCTAGTCAGTTAGTCAGTCAGTAATAAGGATATTGGTTGCAGGAGCTGAGGGAAGAATTTGACAAATTTGGCTGGTTGCTGACAGCACCACTTGGAGTGATTCCAGACACAATAGAGCATTCGTACGATATACCGGCTATCAGCAAGTACCTAGATTACATGTTTGCGCTGTGCTATGCCTACCATGGTCACTGGGGTACGCAAACTGGACCAAATGCACCCCTGTACCCTCTTTATCAAGATGATGAGTATACTGTGGTGCGTATTCATGTACTTTATGTTTGTGCTCTTCAAACTGGTTTGCAAACCAGATTTTCATATGGACCCAAGTCACTTTAAAGAAACATACAACAAACAGTGTATATGTATGTTTCGAGGGTCATTTTTAACGTAACAACCATTTGCGCACCCTGCTTGCGCAGTTCATTGACTAGAGGTTTTTCAAGGTCAAGAGCTGTCATCAGATCCTCTGCAACATCCCCAATGTTTGCCAAACCATTGAGTGAATTAGTTGAGTTAGGCTTGTGCAACATTGGGGCGTGCCTGAATCACAATGGGGACTACATAAAAAAATAAACATATGTTGTATCTAGTAGTGACATAAAAATTATTTGGATTTTTTTGTTTAAAACAAAACGGTTCTTACTTTAAAAATGACCCTTGTACTACTTTGTTCTGTAAGAGTAATTTTGTTTGTAGTGAGTTACACTTTAGCCTAATGTATAAGGTGACCCCCTATTTTTTCCAACAAGAAAATCACAATATAATCCCCCCCCCTCCCCAAAATTTGAGAAGTGTAATAGTAAGCACACTTTCACAAAAGTTTTTGGTGTTTGGGTGATGGAATCAGATTTATTTTGGTCACTAACTAAAGTGACAGTCTTCTTTGTATCATAATGGTGCATGATGTATTGATTGAGCCATGTGACGAAGAGTAATGGGTCTTTGGCCATGCCATAGCTCAAGCGGTTAGTCGCTGCCTTCCCACCACGGTGGTCCAGGCTCAGTCCTGGGTGTGGTCAAGTGGAATTTGTGGTGGACAAAGTGGTGCTGGGTCTGGTTTTCTCCGAGTACTTTGGTTTCCCCTGCCATTCTTCATTCCACCAAATTCTCCATCGTCATAATCACCCAGGGCAGGTACAATAGGCCAATCAGTGGCCGCCGTGCCGAATGAACCCAGCTGGACTCCACCTCCCACTAGCGAATTAAAAAAAAAAGTAATGGGTACTACATGGGATGGAAAAGAGATGGTGTGATGTTTTTGGTAATTTGGGGTACTTTGGTTTCAGTTCATCAAGAGATTATCTTTGTACACATGTCTTTGACACAGAATAAAATACAACATCAATAAATCTGGCAAGCTTGGAGGCCATAAACATTTTGAAATTTTCTCAGTCTCCAAACAAGAGCCAAGCCTATGAAGCCTATGAAATGTCACTTGTTGTATCATCTTCCTTTAACCGTGCTATAGTAATCTCCTCTTATCAGGTGTCACAGAAAATCGTGGATTGTGTCAGTGTTCCTCTCAGAGTTTATGGTGTGTATGTGAGAAGGGTGGGGCGAGCAATCCTGCAGTAGGTCGTTGCATGCCATACTCCAATCAGCATGCGGCGCACAGGATTTTAATATGCTGCAAGGGGATTTTCTATAGAGCATAGATGATGAGTCTGAGAGTTTGCATACCCAATAAGATGATACCAGGCCTCCGGAGTCACTATCCACTTCTTCCAGTGACCATTCATGGTAATGATTTCAATTTTCATACCTGATTACAACAGTTAGCACACAACATGCATTGTATATGGAAACATTTTAAAAATTTTTCTGCCTGCCACTTGCTTTACCTTGTCTTTTTTAGAAGATAGTAGTATTGTGATGTTCATACTGTGTTACATTAATGCCTATTATTGTTTGAAAAATTAAGAGGCAGCCACGGATGGATGGAGAAATGGAGGCATGGATACTGTGGGTCAAATACTGTTTTTTTTTTATTCTGTGTACACAGAGTTTAATAATTTTATATCATATTGGTTACATTTAGTAGGGAAGTTTCTGTCACTATCATACTGTCATTCCTTGATTAAGAATAAACAATGTAGGCACCTAGTTTAGTTCATATACAGTGGCACAAGGGTAGGTTTTCTGAGAATTTGATTCTCCCTGTCAGTTCATATTATGTCAGCTGCTTTATTTCTGTCTTCTATCCTCTGCAGCTGGTACAGTGGGCCATTTATGGCCTAAGTACCAGCCTGTTGTGATGACTACATGTGGAACTCTGGAAACTTTAAGAAGACAGAAAATGTTTTATGTTAAATTGACTTTGTTGATGTAAAGAAAGGAAACAAGAGCTTTAAAAATTTGCAAATTCAAAGTATATTGTGATATGACGGCTGAAAGTCAGAATAGTGGAACCAGAGGAGGTGTCCATTGCAAGACAGCAGCACAGTAAACACATTTCCATGCAACATTAGAATAACTGTTGGAAGTAGTGTTTTCTGTGTAGCCTTGCCAAGGCTATAAAGTGAGGACCAATAGAATAAGTGAGTGAGGTGTGTGTGTGTGTGCATTCATGTGCATGTTTGGAGGAAAGGACCTGTTAGTATGGGGTGGGGTGGTGACCAGTAGCAGTCAGACCCCTCCTCACATGAAGGAGGAGGTCCCATTTCAAAACATGCAAAAATCTTTGAGAGAAAATAAATATGGTCACAAATCCCAATGTGACTAGAAACCAAGAAATCTGTGCTGTCGAGGGCCAGCAGCAATTTACCCAATTGAAGGACCAACGGACTGAAGTGAGTCATTTTGAGTCATGAGTCGGCGCTTGTAGTTGGTGGCTAGCGAAAATACAGAATTCTCCTTATAAGATGTTACCTAGCAGCAACTAGTAAAGACATAACATACAGAAGGTTTAGTGTGTGCTGTAGAGATTTGTAGATTGTGTAGATTATTGAGAAAGTTATAATTATTTGTAGTTATGAGTCATAAGTGCTCAATAAATTATCAGTCCAAACTCTATATCTGGTCACTGACAAGTAACAGTCTTTTCATGAGGTAGTAATTTTATTGGTTAAGATGTTTAGAAGTTGACTCAGCTGTGCTGCCTATTAGAATTACCTCCATGCCACATATAACAGTTACATTGACATGACTGTGTTGCTGGAGCCTCATTTATAATTATTATTCACTGCATTTGGTTGAGGCTGTCAGTAAAGTAGGTGCAACTCCATTTTGCCCTTCTACCTCTCACATTCAAACATACAGCAGGATACTTCAACTTTTCCATAATACAATTTATTGCTTAATCTGTGATGAATTCTACATGAAAGTATAGGGGAAATGTAAAAAAAGAGAAAGAGGTCTGATAGGTTTTTCAGAAAAAACATTTTTATCTACTAGTATGGTCGTTAGGGCGATATTTAAAAGGTGGGAAGATTCTGTTCTGTAACACGCGACATGCTCAGTAAGCCAAGATAAATTGATGGAGTGTTGTATTGCTGTCAAATATAAAGGTTATTCTGTGTTTCAGGAGTCCAGTATTAATATATTGCTCCGGAAGGGGGCTCCTGCCAGCAAGCTGGTGCTAGGGCTTCCTTTGTATGGCCGCATCTTCAAACTGAGGAGTGGGGAAGGAAATGTNTGCGGCCTGTACATGTATAAATACGGTATTTAAAAGGTGGGAAGATTCTGTTCTGTAACACGCGACATGCTCAGTAAGCCAAGATAAATTGATGGAGTGTTGTATTGCTGTCAAATATAAAGGTTATTCTGTGTTTCAGGAGTCCAGTATTAATATATTGCTCCGGAAGGGGGCTCCTGCCAGCAAGCTGGTGCTAGGGCTTCCTTTGTATGGCCGCATCTTCAAACTGAGGAGTGGGGAAGGAAATGTTGGGTTTGGTGCACCAACTTTAGGGGCAGGAAAGCAAGGACGTTATGTCCAGGAAAGTGGTCTGTGGGGTTACAATGAGGTAAGTTTCTGTTTTGTGTGATGATACTTCTAGATCTGCAAATATATAAAGGTATTCCGCCTCTTTTTACTGTATTTGTTAGAACACTCTATAGAGTAGTTATGAACTTGGAATGTGAAGAGTCTCTCTATGTCATGTTAATTGAAAAGGGTGGCAAGAAAATTAATGAAGTGTTGGCGAGAGTACAGGAGGTCAGAAGGAATGAGGATATCATTGGAACAGCAGGCATTTATACATTTTTCTTTTGAAAAGAAAATGGTAACTATTACCTCGGGAATGGCTTTCTTCTACATTAGGAAATGTGATTGGCAGTTTAGAAGGTAGTCTTTGTTGCTGATATTGTGTTCTGTATAGTACTGGAAAGTCATCAGTTTGACCTGAAGGGAAGGGACCACTTGGCAGATCTGTGTATAGGTCGAGTAGTAAGTTTAAAGTATATGTTAAAGATGTAGGTTTTGAGGTTAAGGATTGAATTTATTTGGTTCAGGTAGGGGGACCAGTGAAACAACATGTAGAACTACGTGGCATTTCAGGGTGCAATGGTAATTTCTAGCAAATTTTGCTGTGAAGGAAATATATTACCCTGGGCTGGATTTAAAATTTCAGCTTCTCACTGAGTGTTGATGTTGCACGAAATTGGCAGTCCGTTCTGTCCTTGAATTCATACAAATGATGATTTTCTCTTCGAATTTATATATGTTTTGGTTTATATTGTAACGTGTTTCATTACTGAAGACGCCGTTCGAAATGTTAATTGGTTTATTCAACAATCTACAAGCAACGGCTACAATTAATTATAACAATGTTATGGGTTTCCACACTTTACAAACCCTGCAACCAAATCTCTTCACTCTTCAAGAGTCTTCACGTGTTAATAACGCGGGAGCTATACAAATCTCTCTGAGTTACACACTCCAAATACACTCGGTTATCACGAACTATCACTGATTCTCGCGCACGCGTCTGTAACCCGTAACTTGCGAACTGAGAACTGTTGTCGGCGGCTGTGTAGCTCCCTTATAAACCCTCAGCATGGCAACGAGAAAACAGCCACGTGGTAGGCATCGCTGTTGCTACCGTCGTCTATCGCAACCACTGTTTATCCGCGTTGCATAGCGACCAGTGCGCTGGGACTCGGCTCACTTCGGCTCTGCTCGGCATGTCACCGCGCGTTGCGCGTTACGTCACCGTAGGGAGAGTGGCGGGGTGATGACTTGCCTATTACCATAGTAACGAGAGTGCTACGTTACTGCCACGTGCCGCTGGGGAGGTAGGGGTCCTCTGTTGCGCAGCATGTCACAATATTGTTTCCACCTTTGGATGATTGCCCCAGGTGGCACAGTATTTTCTTGCTTCTTCACGGTTGCTTGTTCCATGTTTTTCATCGCCATAGTTGCAAAGTACAAATTGTAATTGTGGTGCTTGATACTTTTGGGCACATTATTCCCTTTCACATTAGTATGTTTCTTGACATGATCTGCCATTTTTATGTTGAGTGATACTTGCATCAGCACAGAAATCTCATCATGTCATAAATTGATGAATTACTGCTTTTGTTCCTTAACTATGATGGTACAACAGGCAACATTATGGCATCTTGAGGCTTCTGGTCTTGAAACATATTTCTTTCTCTTGATGTCTCCCTTTCTTCTCTTGAAGCAAGATAATTCAAACTGTGCTTTATGTTGCAAACCATGTCGTGAACAGGCTAAAAGCTTAAAAGATTAAAAAGAAAAAATATATATATATTTTCCAGTCACAGTATCTGCACGGTCTAAGGCATGAACTGTCTTCGCTCACTCGGAAGCTGGGACCAGGGTTCAAATTCCACTCAAGGAATGGATGTTTGGAGTGTGTATGCATTTATTCTGTGTTTATGTTGTACTGTGCTTAGGTAGCAGCCTTGCAATGGGCTGATCACTCATCCAAGGAGTCCTACCATCTGTGAAAAATTATTATGGAACTGAATAAGAGGCTTGGGCATTGACTGGGCTGGAAGAGTCACTGAAAAAAATATATATATTTACACATTTTATATATATATATAGATAGATACATATTAAAATTAATGATGACCTGTAGGTTTGTAGTCTGTAAAAGTGTGGGAAAATATTGCCAGCAGTGCGTTTTATAAAACCATCATGTAAAATCATATGGGAAGCGTTCAAAGTAGATACTTCAGTTGAAAACTCTGAAGTAATTAGAACATTATCAGTCCAGAGGAAAGAGACAGTGTATTTTATATACGCGTGACAGACCAACCAAGAGCAGAGGCTGTGTAAGTGCATTAAAAATGCTCAATTATTGCATTCATTTGTTAGCCCCATTTGAAATGTTGTGCCTATTCCCTACTCATTCTAATGCTGTGTGGTCATACACTCTTTTCTTGCAGATATGCTTTGAGTTGGACAGTCCCTCCTCCAACTGGATGAAACGCTGGGATAATGTTACCCACACCCCATATGCTTTTAAAGATGATGAGTTCATATCATATGACAATGGGAGAAGCCTTACAGAGAAGGTACTGTACTGTCTTTTTAGTTCAGTGGCTTGTCAGGTTCTGGCTGTTAAATTGGGTAATTATTGTTTCTTGGGCTCTTCCTCTTCATTTAAACTCTTTATCAAGAATATGAAGTAACAGCATATTAAAAGGTTTGAGAAACTTGCATATTGATTCTAGAGGAAAAAACAAATCTTACAGGTAATACAGGGTGTTCAATCAAGGAGAAAACTTTGCAACACCGCTGACCGGGCCCAATATTCCTCACAGATTGCTGCTGTAACTGTAACGGTGCGCGTTTGTCAGCTCTAATGACTCATTCTGATATCAGCAGTTACAGCAGCAATCTGTGAGTAATGTTGGGCCGGATTAGCGGTGTTGCGAAGTTTCCTCCTCAACTGAATGCACTGTACGTATAATGTTTGCCTGCTCTTAATTAGTGGATTGTTAATGGGAATGGTATTTCCCTTCAGGCAACCCTGATACCATGTTCTTAAATCTGTTTTTTTGTATTGAGCACTTGGCATGGTCAAAGCCCCAAGACAAATTTTCTGAGGTTTTTATTAGTGCTTTCATATGACTATCATAAAGTAGGATATAATTAATTGTCCCCTGTTCATTATTTATAATCTTATGACATATCATTTGTTGCGACATGACCTCAGCAGTTGATATCTAACTGCTATAAAACTAACCAATGAATCTTATTTAATACCATCATTGGAGGTAGGTCTTTACAAACTTTTGAAATGAGGTGAACAATTTTGTCTGCCCTGTCTCCTGTCTAAAAATCTGAACATTATATTACACAAGAATATGATATAATTGTTTGGTTCGGCTGTGTAACTTGATCTTGTATTCTGAGGTGGAAATAGATTGAGAGTGTTCTAGAATAGGGTGCTGAAGAGAGTACCATATTTATGCGGGTATAAGATGAAACATTTTCCTTAATTTGGCTATGATCAAAGTGTAATAGTTGCAGAGATAATTTGTGCCAGTAACACATTTTACACACCCATCACATAAAATAGTATGTAAAAAGCTAAAAGAAAAAACTATTATGATCTTATGTTTGCATACTTAGAAAATATCATGTTGTAGTTAGTGTTTTTATGTCACCAGGTCAGCGGGTAATATCCTTAGAGCAGGTAATATGGAATTTTCAGAGTTTTCTCTGTCTTTCATTTCAAGATTAAGGAAATGTGGATACAGTTTGCTGTGATCTGTGTAACGAACATAGCAGTGGGCAGTGATCCTGCAGCTGGTAGCATGTGATGCTTGAAGGTTTTCTGTCTGCCATTTCTTCCAGCAGTGCATTGCCATATTTCTACATTTTCTTTAAGTTATCCACTTTCCTCTGTATATATTTCAATCCATTCCACTGTGCCTTAGAAACATAAGAACTGTGCTTAGCACGGGTGGTAGTATGTCTGTTCCAAATACAGTGAAGTCTCATTGTGTGTGTTCAGGTGCAACTGGCCATAAAGAAGAAGCTTGCTGGAGTTGTGGTGTGGTCTCTTGACACGGATGACTTTCGTGGGACCTGTACCTTTGGTAAGAGTGGATCCACTGGCTATCCTCTCATGCGGGCTATTAACAATGCCCTTGACACTGCCATATCTTGGGATAAGGTTCCCTGTAACTCAAACTCGTCTGTATGAGGACCGTTAATGTGGAACCCATTCTTTATGGAATTGGGACCATGAGCTGACCATCCGTGTCACATCAGCATTCACATCCCAGCTGTAAACAAGGCCGTTTGCACGTTGACATTGGATTCACTGGACTACACTGCAGCACTGTGGTGTGAAGATACCTCTGTGTTTAAAACGCCATGACCGTTAACATAGCTCTCTTCCCTGGAACATTTTAATGTGGGGCACATCTGAATATTAGTCATCACAGGAAGACATCAACAAAATAGAATGCACTGTCTCAGTAGCATTTGAGAATTAGTTGATTATGTGTTAGCTTATACTGACCTGATGGTCAGATTTTGGACATTTTGCAATAGTATTTTATTCCTGGACATGTAAAGGTATTATTTTATTACCTTTGAAAGCCAATTTTTATCCTTGAGGTTGTTTATTTTTTATTTTATTTTTTAAAGAAGTGTCCATGTTATGTCACACTCTATATATATGTGGCAGAACAATTTCGTCTCTCCAACACTGGAGCTCTCCTGCAGAAGTTCCTTGATTTGGTATGTGGAATGATATCTGTGTGAAAATAAACTTCACACCCTAAAATGAATGAAGTTGATATTACAAAGTAATTCTCCCACTATAAGCGTTATACTGTAGCATCATATTGTGTGTAAAACAATGTTTATTATTATTCATAGGACACAATTCTGGTATAAACATACCATGTGTTTGTATGTACTACATGTTTCGTCATGTTGCAGCCACACTCCCAATGTGTAAACACTGGCCAGTGTAGGGAGGTAGAGCAGATAGAATGAAGGGTGACTGTAAAAGCTCGTTGTTGTATCCTGCGGTTGAGGGATAAGGTTGGCTTTGGGCGAGTGGATCCCTTGGGAGGCAGAATGGGGTATACCTCTCAGCAGTTGTAATATAACTAAAGTTTTATTACTAATAAATGAATTACAAGAATCTGATGGAAACGTAGAAGTAGTTATCTGCCTAAGCTAAGGGCAATACTGACTCTTAGACTGAAATACAAGTAGTCTCAACTAGTTGTCTGATCTAAAAAGCTCTTGGGGTGTCAGTCCTTGGGGTTTTATACTACACTTAAGGAGTCACTGCCAGATTGTGCACAAATAAGGTTATAGAGATGGTCACTTGGACTTCGCTCCCGTCTGCTGTACTATTCCCAGCGCTGTTTGGGCCTCGCTCCAAATGTGATGTAGTGTCTCTGGTCACAAGTTCAATTGATATCCGGCCGGCTGACAACCACTTTTGGGGAAGAATACAGCTTATAACAGCTCATACATACATTCTGTTAAAATAACCCAATTCATATGCAATACCTCGGTATTTGTACCTATTTCTACAGGTAATTTAATATCATTATATGTTACTATACATCCATCCTAGACCCCTATACAACAGTGTATATGATGATGGCTGCAATAAACCGAAACATGTAGTATACATTCAAATACATGGTATGTATATACTGGACCTGCATGGGCTGAATAATGATAAACATTAACTCTTGTCACTGTTGATACAAAACCATGATGGTATAAAAAGCAATTGCTTATAGCTTTTAGGTAAAAAGAAGTTATTTGATTATGTTATTTCTAGTACAATTATTAATTTCTTTATTGTGCCTCTTTGCCTTTGATATAGTCCAGTGTTCCAGAGCTTTTACTTATAATTAAAGTTTCCAGGAGTAGGCATCTTCATGTCCAGAGACTTATGATTTCCTGGATTGCTGGTGAAGTGTCTGATTGGACAGATACTTCACATTTTTACTGTGTAAATGCATCATATTTTGAAGTCAAGTGCATGGTGACTGTCCGACCTCTATGCATTGGCATTGAATGCTGTGGTATGCCTCTACATGTTATCAAGGAACCCCCTCAGTACTGTTAGAGCTCTGACAAGTTAGTATGGTGACTGTGTTCTGCTAACGTTCTTACAGTACATCCCTTGCCGCTGGATAATTTTCTACTGTTAAATGAAGTGAGTGAATGATGCATCTGTTGATAGATCTTTCTAATTTTACAGTTCATCTGAACATTTATCTGTGGATGTAATTATTCTTTTCTTCAGGCACATTTCTACGAAACTTATGAGTATACTGTTTTGATATAAAGGTATGCACACTGTGTTACGTGACATGTATTTATAATACAAGCATATACTTGGGAAGAGACAGGCAGAATGCCTCAGAGACAATAAAAGTTACTCTTAAAATACCGAAAAGTCTCACTTCGAGACTGAAAGGGGTAGGCCACAAAGTTTGCATGATAAGTTTTGTCCTGCAGCTTTGATGACCTGCATGTGTCACACAGGATTGTAAATGCATGCTGTATTCCTTGATGTTATGAGAGTAAAATAAGAAATTGGTGACATGCTTGGGTGAGAGGTAGCCTGACATTGGTGATATGGAAACATAAGCAGGACATGTACATATTGATAAACCACCAGCAGGAGGCAACTTCTGTGATGATCAATCGTCACATAGACTACATAACTAGAGACAACATAATAGCTGTTGAGTTGGGTGGAGAATGTGAAGTGGACAAAAAATTATTTTTCTATCTGTTGGATGTAAGTACATGAAGTACGTTGAGTGGATGCATCATGCTATTATCCCATAGTAGCAAAATAGATTGCTGAAATTTTTTCCAATATTGGTTCACGATTCGTTGAACGTGAATAGAAGAGAGCCTGGCCCTCCATTCAGATTTCAAATCACATATCTTGTGGCTTAACACACTGAGCATTGGCCAACTGCAGAATCAAACTTGTGGTGTCGTGTGCTCAGCCAGTAGAAGAGGAATGACTGCTGAATGTATTTGCTCAAGGTGCAAGGTCAGCCCATGTATAGACTTATATTTTCATATGTAGCATATAAAAATAAACTTTTAAGTGATAATGCCATCATAACATTGGAAGAAAAACATTTCTGGAAATGTAAATACTCTGTATTTGGATCTATTCCATGACTGTATAAACAATTTTGTAAACATGTATTTTTATTGCTAGTAATGAAATACTGTAGAAATTTATAATGCAAAAATTTTCATTTGCTTTTTACTAGAATATCTTAGCAGAATTAGTTCCAATTTTTATTTGATACAACATTTGGAGGCTGGATGCTGCCTCCAAACTCAGGCAGAAAGTCTGCTTCATTGGACTGAATTTGTAGAACTAATCCCAATTTCCAGACTAGCCCTTTTGATTAGGCCAAACAGAGGTGGCCTTTTACCTTAAGACAGACACAAAGTCATCTTTATAATGTTCTTTCACGTGAAATATAGGATGAGGAATAGAATCCAGAAAACTGATCATACACAGTGTGTCCAGGATCCTTTAGGACTCTTTTTTTTTTTTTTACATTTTGCCCTGCAATGCCATCTGTTGGCGAGTTGTGGC